AAAGGGGAAGATGACTAAAAGCCTATTTGCAGAAATATAATTAAAATGTTTTAAGTGTCTGTCCACAGGACATGGAAGTCTTGAAAAAAATTAAAGTATGTGAAAGAATTTGGTGACATTTTTAGGAGTGAAACTCTGTGCTGTAATGAGATTACCTACCAATTTCCATTATACTTCATATATAACCTACTGGCTTCATTATACAGGGCCTTGGGCAGTTGACACTTATTAATTTGATTTAAAAATCCTGTGCTTTTGTGTAACCCAAATGTTCATTACCATGTTTACAGAAACATAACTATAGACCTTGTCTTCAGCTATTTAAACCAAGCACACATCTTACTTCCCCTTCATTTTAGTATTTTCCTTCCTTGTTCATAGACATCAGTCAAGTATTCTTCTCTTCAGGTTTCATATTCAAAATGTTTACGCATTTTTTGTTGCTCATCTTATTCCATGCTTCCAGCAAATTTGTTTGTTTTATTGCAGCCGCAGCCTCCAGTTATGAGAAGAAAGTCCAACAATGATGAGTCATTTGATGTGTGTGGTAATGTGTCAGAGGGTCAGCCATCTAAGCATCAGCTGAAGAAGGAGCGCAAGCAAGCAAGAAAAGAGCACAAGAGACAGAAAGGGTGGCATGCAGGACGGGGGCAATCCATCAGTGCCAAGGAGAATGCTGCAGTAAATAATACTGTTGAATCAGGTAAGTTCCTGAAGATATCCGTCTTCTGGGTTATTGCGCTGTGTAGTCTGGTCGATGTTAACCAACGTTTCAGAGGTCATACTGCCTCCGTCATCAGGGCGATGAATAAGTAAGTTCCTGCTGCATTGCTTTGGAAAGTCTAGTTTGGAGCATAATACTTACGCAGTCAGAAATTAGATTTTTCATTTTTGTAAAAGTATAGTGACTGGCAACAGGTTGGACAACTGGAGTTCAGTTTCTGACAGGGGCATATACTTTCCTATTTCCTACCAAGTTCACACCAGCGCTGGAGCCCGCTCAGTTTCCTAACCGGTGGATACTGGGGGACTCTTCCCCAGGGTTACAGCATGATGCTGACCACTCACTACCAAGGTCAAGGTTAAGATTATATGAAGCTATACCTCCACTCCCTTATGTCTTCATTGCATGGTGCACATAGACTTCACATTTCATTACTAAATAACAAAATTCCAGTTTCACAATGCTGAAGATGAAGTGTTGAAGTGAATATTATGCTCACGAAACACATGTGGGGAACCAGCTACATGCGTACTGAGAAACATCATGACATTTCTGTTCTCTAGAAGTGTTGAAGTGAATATTATGCTCACAAAACACGTGGGGAACCAGTTACATGCGTACTGAGAAACTTCATGACATTTTTGTTCTCTTGGTATAAGTGTGGTAATTAGTACATCATGAGGTTTATGGTGACCTGTACTTAACAACATGGTTGGAGGAAACAGGTACAGAATTTTTATGGAGAAGTATCTTCGACAGCAACATTAAGCCTGTGATGGAGGCAAGAGATTGATATCAAAATTGGTTTTGGGGGAAGTAGGTTTTTGTGTGGTTTGTAATATCCAGAGTGTGCTGAATTGCATAGTTAACACTTCTGTCTGACTTGCATTTTACTGTGGTTGTGTAACAGAGCAGAGCGATGCAGACGTGGAAGACAATGTGGAACAAGATATGGGATCCAAGGTGCTTGGTGTCGATATGGGGGAATCAGGATACAGCTCTGAGAAAGCTGGCAATGAGGACTCTGCAGTTGAAAGTCCAGTGCCTCATCTTTCCAATGGAGACTCTGCCCTGGCCAGTCCTACTTCCTCAGCAGACGTGGGTGGGTCCATGTCACCACTGTGTAACAGAGCAGTGACGGAGATGAACAAAGAGCTGGTGGTCGCAATCCCTGTCTCTACTTTAGAATCTGTGGGCAGCCCACTGTCTCCCAGTTCAGTCTCTTCTGAAGTGAACTTAGATTGCTCCAGCTCGATTTCAACACGTGCTCACACGGATTGTATGTCTCCTGACTTGAACAGGCCAGTTTCTCGCTTTGAATTTCATAATGATGATTATGCGGATAGTGGGGAGGGAGTGGCAAGGCTGAGTCCTGTCGAGGATGACTCTGGTTGTGTGAAGAATCTTTTAGTTTCAGACTTGTGTGATGATATTTCTCGTTTGTGCACCAATTTTGTTCAGACAACTGAGCCAAACATGAATGGCCATGAGGAGAAGCAACTTGTTTATGGAGGAGATGCTGAAGAAGTTGAGTTAAAGTTGGATAACACTGGTAAAGGAGACATGACTAGCAAGGTACTATCATCGGGTAGTACTGAGACTAGTGTGGTGCAGTTAAATGAGAAGATGACCAGTGAAGTGCTGTCAACTGCACAGGCACCCTGCGAGACGCAGTCAAATAGGGAAGTGGCTGATGAGGTGTGCTCAAGTGGGGTGACGGCCAGTGAAGTGCGGTCAACTGGCGGGGTAGCTAGCTGGAGTGCAACATTGTTACCAAGGTACCAATGTGATGATGGAGAGTGCTCTATCCAGTCGTGTCTGAACCAGTTCACTGCGCTTGAGCTTATGACTGGAAACAACAAGGTTGGCTGTGAGAAGTGCACCCAGTGCCATAATCAGGGTAATTTAAAGCATTAAATATGTCTGAATCTGATATAAATTTGTTGTGTGAGAAAACAGCCTGCTAGGGTCAATGTTTTTACATTGTCAGACAGGATCTGTCATCTGTCATTGTTACTTTAATTTGCACAGGTAAGGAAGGCAAGATGGTGTGCACAAACTCCACAAAGCAGCTTTTGGTTAAAAGCCCCCCTGCAGTGCTGATCCTGCACCTCAAGAGGTTCCAAGTGCATCGCACCATGTTTCGCAAGATGTCACGCCATGTCAGCTTTCCTCTAGTGCTTGACCTGGCACCTATCTGTTCTACTATGTACAAGGTGCGTTTTACGCTGTGCAGTGCAGAACAGATTTTTGTGGGCTGCTTCAAAGTGATTGTCATCTTGTGACACCAAACATCATGGCTGAATGTTCAGCACTCCTATATATGTGGGAGATCTTGGGTTCAAATATCAGCGTGGTGACCAAATATCCTGACACGGTTCTTGTGGTTTTCCCTATTCTCTTGAGGCAGATGCTGGGATACCTTATATTAAGTAATGACAGCTTCCTCCCACATCCTTTTCAGTTCATTGTCATCAAATCATTTAACACTATTTAAAAGAGTTATTGGTATTGGTTGTCATTAAATAAGCCATAAATAAATTACAAATAATCTTGCAAACTGTTCAGCCCTCATGGCACTTCCTGTATCTTGAATTTACTGATATCAGTAAACACTTTTGAACATCTCTTCTTAAGACTTACTGAGAGATTCTTTAGACACTGACGATTGATTTAATTCTACATACATTGTGTTATCTCCTGCAATGATGATGCCATAATCGATTATTGTTCTCTCCTGTTATTTCATCGTGAATTACAGAATGTTCTTGATACTGTAGCATGAGTAAAGGACTCTATGGGTGTGTTCATGTCTGTCTCTGGTATGTTCTTCATATTAGGTAAGCAACCCACAGTTTCTGAGTCGACGTTGCAGCTGCCAATACACCATGAAAGGGTGCAGAAAATTGTTTAAATTTAAAGTGTATAATTCAAATTGCACACACGTGGCAGTAGCATGCTTAAAAGTGGCACAGTGTTCCTTGGTAATTTCCAAGAGTGTGTACGGACCAGGCACAGATAAGCCTGTAAGGGAGAAATTTCACACACACCCACACAATGAATAAATAAGTACATATTAGTCATACATTTTGCATTAGGACTCACACAGAGCTCATAGAAAGGGTACAAAAAATTATGTGTGGAATTGTGCAATGTATTTATAATTATCAAAGAAATGTGAAGCATCAATATCATGTTTGAAGCAAATTTCAATTTGCAACATGAAAATCAAATTAAAGGTTTATTTTAATTTTGTAATAATGAAATTAATTATATTTTGGTTAAATTTTGCCAGATGTTATATTGATAACAGTAGTCAAGTGACACATCTGTTGGTTGCACACTGTAGGACTCGCTGATGCTGAAACCCGGACAGAATCAGGTGCTGTATGCGCTCTATGGAGTGGTTGAGCACAGTGGCACGCTTCATGGGGGCCACTATGTTGCCTATGTGAAGGTAAGGCTTGTGTTAAGAGAGAGTGCTTATAAAGTGGCTGTGCTTGGTTCTGAAGGATAATGCGTTTATCTTCTGTAGGTGCGTGCCCCTGTACCAGACAGTGATCCACGATGGTTGTTCCTGCCCTCATACCGTCAGGTTCCCCATCGGAGGGTGGATGATGAGGAAGGTGGCAGTGCAGAGGCTCCTGCGGGGAAGTGGTATTTTGTGAGCGATTCTCGTGTCAGTGAAGTTGGGGAGGACCGTGTTCTTCGCAGTCAAGCCTATCTGCTCTTTTATGAGCGCATCTGGTAGACAAAGGCATTTCTCCGATCATCCATTCATAGTCTGAAATTTGTTTTTGTGATGAACTGTATACAGCGTGTCAGATATGCTTCTTTATTAATATTGCTGTGTGCAGCAGCGGTGATTGAGGAGATCCTTTAAAACATTACTGGTTGTATATTAATTTCTGCCTTTGTAATTTATTCTGCCATTTCTATAAGCAGACAAGAGACCATAATTGGAGGCCTTCTTAGGTAACTTCTAAGGTTTTTTTAATAAGCTCACATATTTTTCATCAAAGACCAAATGTTGGTTCCAGAACAAGCACACAAGTTGCTGCATTGTGTATAATTTATCATAAAACTTTATTTAAATGCAGGGGACAGTCTTGTTGGGGAAACATTTGTTTGTATCAGGGGTTCTCAACCTGTGGCTTTTGCTGCATGGAGCCCTCCAACATGTTTTATGTTGCCCATGTATGTTTTTGTGCTTTTGTATCTTCCTGTATGATGAAAAAATAGCTACCATCTTGGTTAAATATTTAATTAACCCTTTAGAGCTTAGTGGTAAATGTATGTAACACCTGCTTTAATATTCAGCATTATATTTTACCCACTATTGGTTTCATGTCTTTCTCAGATTCTTTCCTTAAACAGCATTAACAAATTGATCTTTGCAATATAGATACATTTTGTTTCGAAACCTCAATCCAAGCCTCAGACAGAACGACCTTTTCCTTAAACTGAATGGAAGAGGAGAATTGAGGAGGCCATGGACCGGAGAGCCATAGAATATTATATACATTTTGTTTTCTTTGCAGTAAAAAATAAATTTTTAAACATTATTTTGACAAACTTCAGTCTTCAAACGGTTAATTTTAAGTGAATATTTTAAAGAAAAATCATTAGTTTAAATTTATCAGAGCACATTATTGAGTAATAGGCTTAAGTGAACCTGTTCTCAATAGTAAGATTTTAATAAATTATAGATAAGTTTCAATGGGTTTTCCTCCTTTATAAGCTGGTGGCCTGTGATTCAATAAGCCAGTAAATGTGGCCCAAAAGGTTGAGAACCACTGATTTATAGACAGACATATTGTGTCTGCTATCTAATATCAAGGCCATGAATTGTGAAAGAAGTGCCGAATTATTACCTGTTAAGTCGGGTGGCACTTCTAGGTACTATTCCTTTTAAAGGGTTAAGAAACCATAGTGAGGAGATTGTGCATTGTGTAGTCTGCTAGAAGTTTACCAGTGTTTTGGGAGACCATGCTCTCTCCAATGTCAGGGCGATGACTCATTGAGGCAACAAGGACCTTTGAAATGTAGGTGAACTACCAGACTGCACTGTGCTGCAACCTAGAAGATGGCCACTGCTGTGAAACCTAAAATCCTACATAAACCATAGTGAGGCAGAGAAACCTGTGGTGGAAAGTCTCTGAAGTAGCAGCAGACTGCATTTCTGCATGCTTAAATGTACCTACACACACTGGGCACAATTGTAGTGTTCCAGAAGAGGTTATACCATACTGTAAATTATAGTTACTAGCATATATTGCAGAAAGATTGTAATGCATTGTGCTTGTTACGTCAAGGGTCTGGTGATCATGAATGGGCTTGATTTTGTTACAAATGTTTGTACCTTTTGTTGTACTGCCTTTAGTTTTCTATTTATAGGAAAAAATATTTTACATTTAATGGTTGCTGTATTTGCTGTGATGGGGTGTTTATTTATACGTTTGTTTTGAATTGAACTTGGGAGCATATGGCTGCAGCAGTTTGTTATATAGTGCATTTTCATGTCAGCATTGAAAGCAACAGTTTAATGTCCACTTGCATCCTTGTGGTCATTTTTACGCTCAACAAAATAAAACATAAACAAGTGTGGAAACATATGCTTTATGCTAACACTTGAGGTGCTTGCTTTTTCTTTTATTGCCTTAAGATTTTAAGTTTGTGAATTCTAACTTTTTGTGCTTGCTCATTAATAGCTTACAGTAGAAGTTTTCGATCAAGGGCCAGTCCAACATTTTTTAAATTAATAAATGATGCAGCATAAAATTCCTTTTTAATTATCTCAAAAGCTGTAACACATTTGGCAAAAATATGTTTACCAAAAAATAAAATACATTGAACTCCAGCCATGAAAACTTTGGGATAGGAATTTCCAGATTTTTGTTATTGTTTGTATACTTAAATTTATTGGTAAAAGTTTTAAGTGGCATTACTCTTCCACTGACTTTGCACTGTTCAGATTGTCCCCTTCAGCCCAATGGTCCCCAAATGTATGTGAAAGTGGGTGTTAGTTAGTAAATGAGTGAGTGAGAGAAAGATATTATTATAATACAATTGCATAGTGTTTTAATTTTGTATGAATTTATTTAATGCATGACATTGTGCTCATATAGTATGAAAATTTAAGAAATAAGACTCACAAACTTGCTAGTTTGCCTGTCTTCCACCAGGAGTGTTATGATCACATCATCAAAGTGGACAGTAGGTAGAATGTGATGGATCTAATTACTTGACCTCCTCAGTCCTCTGACATATCTTCAAAGGGGTTTACAAAGGACCAGGTTTATTAGCACCCATTACTGGTAACATTACAGGAACTCCAGCATAGAATCACTGTTGCGGTGGTGAATGTTGATGGCGTGACCCTAACATAAGTGTGGCAATAAATTAATTATTTTGATGAGTGTCTGGTGATACATGGAGCGTGTGTTGAGATTTTGTAAAGGAACTGAAGTTTGAAGAAAACTGAGTGTTTCTATTGTGTCATTTGTTAGTATTTATTATATAATTCTGCACTGAAATTGTATACAATGGTAAAGCTGGCCCACAACATGCCATGGAGGCAGTTGGGAGGAGAGATGTATAGTTCCTACTCATTCTTGACTTTGGCACTGGACGAGAGTGAGAAGTGTTATGCACTGGTCACACTAACCTTCTGGGGAAGACCTCTGGTAGCTGTTGGATGGGGGGCTAGAAGAAAAATCCATTGCCCTTGCTAGGAATAAAACCAAGTCATCCAGTCCATAGACACTACACTAACTGAACAACCCTAACTCTTAAAATTGTATGCACTGTTGTACTGCTGGGTATATGTGTGTGTACATATAGACTATGTACTTTATACAGTGTGTTTCTGGAGGAAAGGTCAATATTTGGGGAGATGGTAGAGGTCCTTATAAGTTAAAACGTTCATAAGAACATTTGGCCAATTCTGAATGGTTAGGTAGCTATGGCTGTTTGCATTGGCATTGTGAATATTAATAAAGAACAAGTTTTCGAAAATTCCACCTTCAACATCAATGCACTTATTAACTAGTTTGCGACGAGCTGATCGTGACGTTCCTTTATGCGGGCTGCAGCATACAAAATGCGAGCGATCAATTCGTCTCTTGTAGTCGCCCTTATTTCGTAAATCTGGCTTTTCATTCACCCTCACAAACCATAATCCATGGGCTTGAGGTCTGGAGACCTCGGTGGCCAATTATGCGGACCACCACAACCGATCCATCGACCAGAGAAAGTATTTAGATGTGTCACCGCACTGGAAAATGTGGCAAGTATGGTTAAATCAGTTCGCATGTACTCACTTTTATCCGGAATATTTGCGTAGCAGAATTATTCATTTTCGTAAGATGTCATGAGGGAGGAGAATTGTATAGGTTGAATAGCAGCTAACTATTTTTCTGACACGCCGTTGTATTTTTGGATGAGAAATGTCATAAGAATTAATTGCCAACTTGCTGAAGAAAATCGCACAAAATATTTGAAGTAGGGCCTATCTACATAAAGATCATACTTTACATTCTCGTTTGCTTAGTAACAGTTGGTGTCCGTGATTCATTGTTCAAGTCGCAACTGTCAATTATTTGTCAGTAGCATGTCCGCCGGATATGTGACGTGTATTACGGTCGTAGATAACCTAGTTACAGCAGATTATTAGAATTAACATGGAATATTTTAAGAGTGGGTTAAAGTCGGTGCTTGGAACACCACAAGAAGGGTTGCAGCCCACAGGAGCGGAAACGGTGTGTAGTAAATGTTGTACTGTGCGATTCATACAATGTTATTGAATGTTACCGCACATTGCACAGCAATAGTGAGAACTAACCAAAGTTAGGAGGTCTAAGCCCATGACACTTGAACTTGAGAAAGCCTATTTTTACTAGAACATATTGTAGGTAATTCAGTTCATTTATTAATCAAATGTTCATGACTCAGGTTCATACTGTATAGGGTATTCAGTGTTCCCAGGACTTGAGATAATTTTAACAGCTGGTTTGTTTGTATAAATGATATACGCTTTTTATTTTGTCCTGTTTCGTACTACTGTTCCACTGTTTTTGAACCTGCTCTATAAGTTTACTTCATATTAAATGCAATCTGTTTATTATAAATGTAAAACCTTGTAAACAACACTGGTCTTACAAGTGGGTCTTCAGATTAACAGTTAATTTCCTATAATTAGTTTCAATTAGATATAACACTCAGCATAAAGAACCTGAATTTTCAACATCACAAATACCAAAGCCCCCCATTGGACACAATGCAGAGTCAGTTCCATCCACCTTCCATTGTGACTTACAACCCACATCCTTAACATACATCTTAGTGTTATCCTTCCATTACATTGTTGAGCGATGATTGTGTTCTCTAAATTGGATTACAGTGCAGGAAACTGTGCTTCATATGTTGACATTTTTAAGGTTGAGAGGCTGGTAGATCGTGTTCGGTCTTCAACTTTGCTGGATGATCGGAGAGATGCTTGTCGAGCACTCAAAGCTTTATCACGAAAGTTTCGCATTGAAGTTGGAGCCCAAGGAATGGATGCTCTTTGCCAAGTGTTGGAAATGGATCGGGGAGACTGTGAGATTGTGGGATATGCACTGGACACACTCTGCAATATCACAGCCTCAGAGAGCTTTGAAGATGAAGGCAAGTGATAACAACAATGTAGAGTGGGAGGAGAAGTGACTGCATATTGGATGTGTTTGAGAAATGTCTGTAACAGTGATCATATTTTTAAATGTCTGTTATTTCTCGTAATAATGTATTCCTTTTTTATATCTGTTTGCTGGTAGTGTTGCAGTGTTCCTGTTGTCCTGTGAAGTTCCATAACACACATGATTAGCTCATTTTCCCCTGCAATATATGAAGTGTTATCAGTTTTACTGCATTAACATGATTGTGCATAGAAGAATTTTGAAGTGCTGACCTCCTGTTTCTGAATATGCCTTGCATAAAAATATATTTATTGACACGCAGTGGGGCTCTAATCATGAAATATTAGTATTTCTTTTAATGTTGTCTTTCATTTCTTGAGAAGAATATTGATTATTTATATAGGCTCTGTCTTTTAGTATTCCTCACAAATAAAAATTGCACAGATTCAAGTCTGAAGATCTAGAAGGCCACAATCTTCAAATTATCAAGTATGTGCTGATTACTTCTAGTGTAGCCATTGAGAAATTTGCTTTGTGGGCCATGGCATTGTCCTGCATGAAATAACTGTATTTTCTCTTCTTCTGTTAAATCACTGAAGTAGGGAGTTGGAATTAGTCAAATGTAACTGTCAAAGTTTATTATTTCTTCAAGAAGCATAGGCCCTATGATTTTGCTTGCACTCACTGTGCACCAAATTGTGATTTTAAGGTTGTGCATGGGATTTGCAGAATTTGAGTATATGTTATTTTGCTAAAAGTACCTGCTCTGTACAGCTACTAAAAGATGACTCAGTGAATGAAGCTTGGCTCAAATTGCAGCGATGATAACACAGTAATCGTGGCAGGTAGCATGCCAAGACTATATATTTTGAAGCTTAGGGACCTGATAAATCTACCACTCCATATGACAAGTATATTTTCACTAGGGATATGGTCCACTGCAAGCAGTGGGACATAAAATATGAATCTTGGTTTCATATCAGACTATTTTAAATTTCAGAGAGAGTCTTCCTCTTACTCCAAACATATGAATGCAACTAATCAAACATCACAGCTAATTGGTTAGTTTTCCCTTATGTTCAAAAGGTGATGGATTCAAATTCTGGCCTGGAGACCAGTTGCCTGATCTGAGCTTTGTTTTTGTTTTTCTCAGTCTCTCCAGCAAATTACCAGAATAGTCTTCCTTGGCTCTACAATCTGGTGTGGGTCTTCGCCACTTCCATTCAGAGGTTTCTTGGTCTTTGAAGTGTGCATTTGTTTGTAGTGAGTGACCATCCCACTGTCTCTGCACAATTTCTAATGAGTCACGATTTTTTGTCTGCTAGAGCCATCTAATACAGAATCAGGAGAGGTATGGGTGAGAAATGGCCACTGAATTTTGCTTATGAAACATCTCATTCATGCTTTTAAGGTTCTTTTATGTGCCGTAAATCTATGACGTGGGACCACCAGTTTTACTTCCCCTCCAAAGGAAGTTGTACTACAGATTTTTATCGCCCTTAAAAATCCATCAACCTTGGCCGTGTTTGAACCCGCGAACTTTGGGTCCAGTGGTGAGCACGCTAACCACTATTCCACCGAGGTCGACACCAGAATAGTAACTTTCCAAAATCATTATTAATTAATTATCTTGTCATTAGACACTTTGTGTTCTGAGCTGCAGATAGCAGTGTTAAATAAAAATAATGAATGCAACTCATAGAATGAAATAGGATTTCATAATCTCATCTATATGCTTTGTTTGGCTCTGGTACAATTTTGTTAAAGGGTCGTTCCATGTCAGATTATCACACTTCAGAGTCAACATTTTCATGACTATCTCTGATTCTAGTAATATTTTGTAAGCTTGTTGGGTTGTTTCCATAGGAAGTGATATGTATGAAATTTTACTTGTGTTCATTAATTGCATTTTGATATTTTAAGTATTCCTTAATTTTCCCTGATCCTGATTCACTGAAATGCTTATAACTCTAGTTCTGATTAAGGTAAAGCTCATTCTTGTACCAAGTGCGACTTTGATTTGGTATGTAACCTTACCTTATGAACGAATATGTTGCCAAATTTATGCATGTTTTTCCCAAAACATCTGTGGAAATATCATGTTGGGACATACAAGTGATGGGAAGATTACTTTTTTTTTTAAGGCTGATTTCACACGGACCACTCGGTAGCGACACTGAGTGGTCAGAACTGGTGTCTGCAAAGTGGCCATTGCCCCCACTGATGGCCACCACAGTTCTCGTAACAGCAGAATTATCAGTTTTAATTTCTCCAAAAAGTATCTCATCTGAACGTGTTCATTTAAAACAGTGGTCTGCAACACAACAAGCCACTTCCTGTGTGGTGATGGTGATATGAGACAAGTACAGTGTTTTGATTGGAACAATGCTCAGGCAACTTTTCATCCACCTATGGCTTGCTTACAAAATGAAATGATAGAGTGCGTCAGTTTTGTTGTTATATCACGTTGTTTGGAACAAGGTACTGTAGGTGTGTGTTTGTCTCAAAGTAAATTATGCAGCTTTCATTTTGGTAACTTGAAAGATTTAACTTAGATTTACTAATTTCCTAATGGTACTGCCTTGCAGTGTAAACACAGGAAAAATTTAATCAACCTCTGCTGTCAAAAATTATTTTGGCATGGACGCTGAATGGTACTTCTTTGCAGCATCACATGCAAATGTGCATGTGGTGGGTAACAGTTAAAAGGCAGGCTTCCAAAACCCTTATGAGGAGCAAAGCATGAAAACTTAATGTGAGTGGGCTGTTTTGAAGATTCCCTCCATCACCTTTGACTGTTTTGTTGTTGAAGATCACAGCTAAGAAATTATGACATTTGAGGAGAGGTTCAGGAAAGCTCAGGCTCTTCTAGGAACTCGAGAAGTGTGTTGTGTTATTCCTGTCTCAAAAACCAATTTGAGACCAAAGTGTTTCAGAAGAAAATGTGTTCAACACCACGTATATAACACATTTAGAAGATGAAGAGTATAAGACATTAGAGGATTTGTGACTTACGAATATGACAAAGTGGTGGCTTATGTGTACGTTACAAGTGAATGACAGTGAAATTAAACTAGCATTTTTGCATCCCTCTGGCTGCAGTAAGTCTTTGTGTGTCCTTTATCACAAGACATTTTGTGGGTTCCAGCTTCAAAAGTGCCTACAGTAGTGGATCCAGAAACTGCGATTGTATGCACATATGTTGCCAATGAAGTAGAATCCTGTTGTACCACTGAGAAACTAGAAACCAGGCTTCACAGACTGTAAATAGCCACTTTGACAGGTAATTTTTATGTAAATGAATATCTGATTTTGATATTTTAATGAATAAGTCTGCCAGGTGATTTCCCCATTCTTATTTATGTTGTATTACCTGTGTAGGACACTAATATTTAATCCAGGTTACCAACAACAATATATGTGCAGTCTGTAGTTGTAGGACAATATGTATCTCATCAACCCATTCATGTCCCAAAATGAAATTTTCTAACAAATGTATTTGAAGAATTACAGTTTGTTTTGGGAAAGACATGATTTACCCTTAAGGGCCAATAAGGAAATACATTGCATTAAATACTGTGTGATGTTTGTGAAATGAGACTATGTTTGTCCCCCTGTGTCATGGTATTTTTAACATTTTTATACATTCAAACAAATAGCACCTTGTGTGTATAATGTTCCCAAGGCTTGATAGATTGTCATAAATTCATTTGTAATTGAATCATCTACTTTAAGGCATGGGTTTTATTACTGACAACATTCTGAAATTTGCAAATAATTGTCAATGTTTAAAATAATTCTTTCCAAGTAGCCATTCTGTCTTTGTTGTTACACAGAATGCTAGTCAGATAGAACTGAAGATGCTTCAGAACACCCCTGCTTTTCCTTGGTATTTGATCTCATCAAGGTTAGTGTCCTGCCGGGGTGCCGATGATCTGACTGTCCATATACTCTAAGGATGACATTTGATGTGCTGCTACACTTCAGATGTCCATGAACTTATGAAATATGGCAATCTTTATTGGAGAGAGATTCCCACTCCTTTGAGGAGCTGCAAATGATATAACAAAAATCTGTATCGCATACTGAAACTATATACGACACACTACAGTTTATTGCTGTTTCCAGACAGATGATATAACACCTTACTTTGCCCTTCTCATTCATGCAGTTCAGTTAAGTCACCCTGTTTTAATTATTTTTTATGCATGTGGAATTCTTGTTCTTTGCAGTACCACACCACAGTATTTTCCTAGTATAAATTATTACATATTTGAGGGGAGTACAGATTATCCATACCCTATACAAATCATGACCATCCTTGTCATGTCACTGTTGTATTTGTAGTTGTCATTGTTGATTTTCTTGTTGTACAAATATCTATTTGAGGCATATAGTTTGTACATCAGTATCCCAAACTGTTACTTGTTCCTTTCTATGTATTATCTGAATACTATTCTATTTTTAATGACATTCTCTCTTTTTGTCAGTAAACTGAAAAAATCTTGTTAAGATTTGGGGTTTTTGTGGCCAGTTGTGATGTCAGTATTCAGAATAGAAAAGAATCCTGGAATTTTATGCTACTATTCAATTTAAGTTCGTTCACTTTTTCTTATAACTTTAAATTATAAAATTATATATTACGCGTTAACTATGTCCGATATTTATGTTGGTGCAATATTTTCTATAAATCTGCAAGAATTGTTACAACACAGACTGCACGGTGCTACAACACAGAAGACAACCATATTTGGAGAAATCTCCGTACCAAGAAAATGTCTTTGTAAGAAGGCCGTCTCTGACGATGCTCTATCTGTACAAATATTACATAAAAGCAAATGTATTTTCTGTATAGTAACATCAGCAAACTTGAAAGAATTTCAGAGGAAGTGGTCCCAGTTTATTTCGAGGTATTACCTGGTTGTTTGGCGAGGGAAACTGCAAGATCTTCAGTCAGGATAGTCTGTCCCATGGTTTAGATTCAAACCAGGAACCTCATGAGTACAAGTCAGAATTGTTACCATTTGAGCCAGCTTGCTTATCTTGATATTAGAGGACCTTATTTCTTTCATTTCATATTCTTATCTAATCCTCCAGCAGTTAAGACAAATAGAACCAAATTTTTCTTCATAAGTAATTATTATTTTATCCTGATTGGGCTGTTTCATGCAGGTGCTATAACTCTGTTTGAACTGATTGTTTCTGCAAGGTTTTTCTGTTGATTAGCTTGAGATAAGGTTCTCAGAACCAGCGTGGCACAAACTGCCTTATAAGTTTTGCATGAGTTATGCCACTTTTCATCTATGGATTACCAGTCATTCATGTCACTACCCATATAATGAGGCATGTTTGTTAGTGCACTGACAAAGAATTCTAAGAACAGAGACAAGATTGTGTATTGTTGAAGTAGCTTGTATTTTCCAGTATATGAAATAAAAAAAACATGAGAACAAAATGGAAAATGTATCTATAATAAGCTGCCAGTCTGGTTATTTTGAAACTTTGTTTTGAGGAAAATTGATTAATTCATAATAATATACATTTTATTGTAATTTTCTAGGTTAAAAATTGTAATGAATAGACTACAGTTTAGTTATGATTCTGTGTTTTTTAAAGTATTTAAATACCAATTTAATCCAACTGTGAGGTTATGCAAGGAAATTTAAATTCCCATATCTTAAAGGTTGAGTCTGGCTATATTTTTAAGATGTCAAGGTCACAGGTTAAGGTCAAATTTTAAATGTGCGCTACCATTTAAGGGCTTTCAAGTGGTACAATAATGAACTGTATATTTTTATAAGATAAGCATTATAAACCATTTTAGTGATTTGGAATGCAAGAAAATTTAATCTGGATTGAGTTTTTGGTCTTCATCCATTGTCTTGTGTTCTATAAAACACACATTGTTTGAAAACTAGATCTGTTTTGATCCTCAGGTATGGGAAAATGGATCTAATCTTCTCATCTGATCCCCCCTGCATGCTGAACTCCTACCACATCATTTCCATACTCACCATATTACAATTAAGTCTGAATATTCCTTATTTTTTAATTCTGATCTTCCTTGTAGACATACTCTTGACCACTTGGTGAACTTGAAACGCCATATCCAAAATTCATTTGTCCTATGCCAATACTGTCATGCTCATTCATTTCTGGATTGGTCACACCCACATAACAACTGGGCATCTGATACGTCAGTAACTGACACCCATTTATACTGTGGCGTAGTCCTTGCTCTGTTACACGTTTCTGGTTGAATGCCAACATTATAATTAAGAACATGTTGTTATATTCCATCTTCATGTCATGTTGTGCATCATGCTTGAGCATAATTGGCATAGTGTTTTTAATATGTTGGCATTTTTACAAGCAACAGGGCTGACCAGGTCAGTTTAACAGACGTGAATTTTTGTAATTTTAGATTTACAAATTTTTATAATGCTTTCTGACTTAGATATAGTTCCTGCTTTTATTTGTTTTACAATCCCTTGTTGGTATAACTTTGCTTTTTTTATATATATATTATTATCATATTCTGTCTACCATACCCCTTTACAACTCATCATTATTGTCTGATATAAAACCTTTTATGTTATGTTATCTTTTATGTAATTTTCTGTTTTAAACACAATTGCGTGATCAGGCCTCTTTTCAGTATGCCCTGTGGCCATTATTGTTGTTACTTTCAGTAAACTAACCTCGTATGCACCATGGAATGCAGGTGAATTGTACCCTATGACTGCTTTAAACTTCCACAGTATATAGGTGCAAATAGCCTTAGAAGCTGATATGCCTTTAAACAAACATGCATACACCCAAGCTGAATTTTATCAAAGTGTAATCTTTTTCCTGTACCCAGTTTTACCTGTCTCTGGCATACCTGAAATTGTGTTCTGTCACCATTATGCATAAGTGATGTTTTCGTACATTGACATGAGGGTTTTAACCTTATTATGACACTTTCAGAACATCCACACCTTTCCCCCACTTCTGTGGGTAGCTTAGGGGAGCAGTTTACAGAGATATTCATCAAACAGCATGATAATGTAGGCCTGGTGTTGGGGTTCCTAGAAGAGTATGACTTCCACGTCCGGTGGCCAGCAGTCAGATTATTAACTTCATTACTTGCTAACAAGTAGGTACAAATGCTAGTGTTTTCTTATTTTCTTCTTTTGAGGGTTTTTCTTTCCTTCTTTATCCCTCTCCTGGCCAGAATTGTTCAATTTATTGACATATTTAATGTTCTTTTTTGTATTACTGATACCGATATAAATGGGTTTATGACTAGTCATATTTGCCCTTTTTATATTCTCAATCTGGCTAAAATTAAGAAGTAAAGCTATTAAATTGGTCAGCTGTCTCCAAAAATGCTGTTATGCAACAAAAATATTTTTGTTGAATTTTGTGTTATGAGTAAAACTTTAAAATTTCCTGTCGCTGTCGGCTTAATTTTTAATCTTATTCGCCAGAATTGAATAACTGTAACTACTCAGAATTTTTTCTGTTGAATACAAGCATCAATATAGTTTATGCAATCACTTTATTCATTATCTTTTACTGTGACCATTTTTCATGTTTGCACCTAAGCCTAAGAGTGCAGAGTTCCACTTATGCGTAGAATCACTCGCAGAAACTGAATATAAGATATGGATTGTGGGTGGTTACACTGAAATTCACATATTAAGTAGACTTGGAAGTGGTATGCTCCTCTGAAACATTGGTAACCACATACAGGAATACACTACTACAATACAATGCTACTTTTCTCCTTCTTGTTCTTGAGTGTAGCTTCAGTTTTTTTATTGTGGTAAATCAGTTCAGTGTTGTCATTCCCATTTGTTTCAGACCAAAAGACATCCAAGAAATAATCCTCGTGAGTCCAATGGGGGTGTCGAAACTCATGGATATCCTCGGGGACAGCCGGGAAGTGATCAGAAATGATGTGAGTTGAGACAAGTGATTGCAACCTTCCAAATAGTTACATATTCTTCTTTTGAAGCCTGTTATTGTGTGTGTTACCTGGACCAGTTACAGATCCCAACGGCTGAATGATTGTTATGAAACTGTGTCATGATTAGCATGCCGTGGGAAACAGTCCAGTCTGAGTGCTTAGTAAGTCTCATGTCAGTGATGTGGCATGTATTTACTTTTTGAGGTGAGACAACATTTATGCTGTTCACAGTAGAATACTGACATTTTCTATTCCGTTAGATTTTCAAGTTTTCCAAATTTTGCTTAGGAAAATAATAATATCGTAGCTGCATGAAATATTTTGGTTTGATGAGCAATTGTAGCTTGTCATGTGAAATTTTTATGTATGGGAATTGACAACTAATGTTGCCACTGACCACTGAATGTGGTGACTTTCAAAGTACTTGCCATCTGACTTTGACAAAGTATTTTTCAGACTTTGTATGGTGACATTTTGTAAACTCATAGACTAGTAGTGTTGGTCCTTTTGAAACAGGAACTTCTGAACTCTACACCACTCCAGTTGTGAATGGGTTAGCAGGTATACCTAAACCAGAGCCCCCCCAATCAACCAAGTGTCCTTCTGAATTTGATTAAAGGTATTACAGACACTCTTTTTTCAAGTCTTGTCACATTTCTATGATGTTTTTTATACAATATAAAATAATGAAATCAGGTTGATGGTTCAAATGTAAAAATATTTTGCTTATGTTTTCCTTTGAGGGAGATGTTTTGTTGATCGTGGGAACCTACGCCTTAACGTGGGGGCTTCTCACTTCACCATAGGTGAGGGAAGGGAAAAGCATGCAGAAAAATCCACGCTGGATGTGGTTAACCTCAAAATACAACATTTTTGGCCAAGGGACCCAGCACCGTACCCATAGACCATGAGGTCTCCACAGTAGTTCATGTGGTTAGATTCAGCATCTTTACAGACTGGTTCAGTCTGAAAGAGTTTATGGCATACATAGTGGCATGTTATCATAACCTTTGTCCTGAGTTTGAGATTGATGTCTGTACTCAAAGCCACGGACCTATACCAAGGTTCATTATATTTTTCATATGGTGATCATGTGCCAGTTGATGCATTCTGTTAAATATGTGAAGAGTCAGTGGGGGTGATGATGTTACAGGCTTTGCTACTGCTGATACAACTTACCAAAGGCAATGCCAACATTCAGAAGATCGTAGCGTTTGAGAATGCATTTGATCGCCTGTTTGATGTAATCTCAGAGGAGGGATATGCGGATGGAGGGATTGTTGTTGAGGACTGTCTACTTCTTATGCTCAATCTGCTTAGGAACAACACTTCTAATCAGAGTTTCTTTAAAGAAGGTAATGTATACTATGGCGTGTCTGTGTGTCTATTGGCCTGCCCTATCTGGAAAACATGATAGTTTAGTCAGTAATGTGATGGACAGTTCCTAGCAAATGCATCAGCATTCGATTCGGAATATCTAGGGACTCGTCGGAAGATAGAAGGAGGGGTGGACAAATATGTTCAGAGAATGAAGATGTCCATTTACCTTCATGTTGTGCTGAGGTTAAGAATGCATGGAACTTCCACACCCACTACTCTCCTTCATTCTTACGTGGTATCATACTAAGTGCAGGATTACTTTTCTTTATGTATGTCATAGACAATTTCCTTTGTTCTGTCTGACACATTTACTGTGGTATGTAGTGGAATGTTCTAATATATTTGTATGAAGTGGCAGCCATTTTTCATAGACACAATCTGAAAACATTATTTTATCATAAAGTTTAGTAAGAAGTTCCAATATAACATGTATCAAAACTCTTTTAACATTGTATGCACAGCTAATCACTTATAAAGTAGCAGGGAGAGTAGGGAAAACCAGAAATATTTAAAATTATTTACTATCTGGATTTATTCCATCATCTGTGTTTAAAAGAAGAAACCACGACATTTCGGAAACTGGCTCTGTGTTCGTCTTCGGGCTGAGGTACCTACTCAGTTGGGTCCTTCAGATAGAGCTAATAATCTGCCATTGTCAGAACCCTTTAGAATTGAATCAGCAGAAATACGAGGGGCAGTCAAAAAGTTCCCGGAATTGTGGTATAGCACTGTAATGGTAGGACATATGGCAACGCTTACCTAATCACCTTCAAAGTAGGACCCTTGTGCGCGCACACACTTGCTCCATAAATCCTGCCATTGTTGAAAGCACCGGCGGAAGGCTTCATTTGGAATCTTCCGGAGTTCGGCTGTCGCATTCAATTTGATGTCCTCTGTGGTTGCGAAATGCGTCCCCTTGAGGCCCATTTTCAGAGTAGGGAACAGCCAGAAGTCGCTTGGAACAAGATCCGGAGCGTATGGTAGTTGGGTGATGACGGGAATGCTTTTCTCGGCGAGGAATTGCTGCACAACCAGCGATCTGTCGAATGCGACGGCCGAACTCTGGAAGATTCCAAACGAACCCTTCCGCTGGTGCTTCCAACAATGGCAGGATCGATGGAGCAAGTGTGTGCGCGCACAAGGGTCCTACTTTGAAGGTGATTAGGTAAGCGTTGCCATATGTCCTACCATTACAGTGCTATACCACAATTCCGGGAACTTTTTGACTGCCCTACGTATTGTTCACAGGTACCTGTGAAAATACATTTGCACAGTGATTACTGCTTTCCTGCTTAAACATTGTACTTGTATGTTGTTGATGTGAACATGTACTTGCATTAAACATTGGATGAGTAGTCTCCATTTTTTTATACAGGAAGTTATATTCAGCGGCTGGCACCCATGTTTAACTTGCCTCCTGAAGGAGACGATACAGGTTGGTCAGCACAGAAAGTCAGTAATGTTCACTGCATGTTACAAGTAAGTATCACGTCCTGAATTCCATGGTACTGAATAATAGCTTATTGTTATGTAATATTGAGTCTTTACATTGTAGTCTCAAAGTAAGACACCAGACTCATGTTCAGAGTGTTCTAGTTTCATGCCTTGGTGAGATCTGGGTGCATGCTTGTAAGTGCACTGATCAGAGTCTTCTTTACCTTTGTTTGAACTTGGATTTGAAGATTTCAAAATGTACCAACCCTCGCTGTGGTTCAGAACACATGTTAAGTTATAGGTTTCCTCTCTTGGTAACCATTCAATCACTGTCAGTAACAGAATCAGATTCTTTAATATTAGAGATAAAAAATTGATCCCTTCACTTTTTTGGGTAGATGAGGAAGTTTGTAGAACATAACTAAATGTGTTTGAGTGACTTTTAATTAATAGGTTACATGGATAAAGAAATTGTGTCTCTTGCCATTAAAACATTGCGTACGGAATTATTTATCCTTGCTGACATTTCAGTGGTTTGCCAAGACATGTAGGCAGATGCTTCTTAAACCTCCCATGAAATTGGTATTGCCAAGTATACAACTTACTGATTTTTCAGCATGATACAGCTCATTGACATAAGTTCTTTGTGCATTGTTTTTGTGGATCACTTATTAGGGAGCTTTGTTAGAATCTTTGAACACTTTCTGTTAACCAAGGTCATTAACAAACTCCAGCCACCTTCTATCCTCACATTCTGTTTCCGTAAGATCAGTCTTATTACCTCATGGTAAAACCTTAAAGATACACACAGCTAATACCAAAGCTTGCCCTAGGACACACAATCCTTAGCCACTTCTATGTACGTCCCATCCTCACAACCTATTTTCCTAAGATACATACTATTAATTAACTAACTGTTGTATTAGAATGTAGGATTTGAGGTTTTCACGGCAGTGAGTCAAGATGGTTGTCTTCTGGATTGTTGCGCCATTTAGTCGGGTAGAAGTTTACTGACGTTTCATGGGTCCTTGCTGCCTCCGTCATCGTATTCTTGTTGGTGTTGGTCATCTGGGTTGTAATGCCATGTGGACTTGCAGGTAGATACCTATGTTTTGGAAGAAGGTACTGCCTCCATTATCAGGTTTTACCTACAAGTCCACATGTCATTAAAACCAACAGTTACATCTTCACTGCCTTGAGCACCCCAAATCTCACATGTTACTTATATTTATTGTGAATTATGACAAACTGCCATTTTCCTATGCTCCAAATGTTTGTTCTTCATCCCTTCACTTTGTGTTGTAGGTAGTCCGAACACTGGTAATGCCTGGGAATCCTGCTCAGGTGACGATGTCTTCACAGAAGGCAATGAAGGCGTGTGGGTTGCTGGAGATCCTCTGCGGCATTCTGATGGCAAGTGGTGTGCCAGTGGACATCCTTACTGAGACCATCAACACTGTAGCGGAGGTGATCCGAGGCAACCACGGAAACCAAGAGTATTTTGCCAGTGTGATGGCCCCATCAAATCCTCCCAGGTGCTTTACTAGGAAAACTGAGAACTGGTGCAATTTTCACAGGTGTACTAACTAGGCTTTAAACACATGGAAATGAAGGTTCGGTTTGGAGAGTAATTTCACATTCTGTTTACATCACTAATTTATGAACTTTAAAAGGTTGAACCAGGTCACAAAATATTGTAAATTACAGAGAAAATACTTGTTATAAATGACTCTGTGTTTAACAGATCATACAGTAATGTAACATTTTGATATTCAGCCCTTGCTGTCTCTTATTATGAACCACCTCTCAGTTCTTATGTATCGACGAGATGCATTTTTGGTATTAATTTTCTGAAGTATGCCTGTATGTCTAACAGTCCCTTAATTACTCAGACAGATCAGCTTTGAACTCAGGACATGTACTGGAAAAGTGATGTTGAATTTCTTTGTGTGCAGGCCTGCTATTACGGTTCTTTTGATGTCAATGGTGAATGAGAAGCAGTCATTTGTGTTGCGCTGCTCTGTTCTCTACTGCTTCCAGTGTTTCCTTTTCAAGAATGAAGTTGGACAGTCTCAGCTTGTGCAGACCTTACTGCCATCTAGCACAGAAGGTATGAAGCATTTTGGCAATGGTGGTTGCAGGCAAATTGCAGTGAGTGGAATCTGTGCTCTGCAGCAAGATTTGAGAACAGATTCACAAATCTGTTTTTGAAAATTATCATTACTTGTTGTGAATCAAATACCAACAATTCTCAAAAAAGTTGGCCCTCTCAGATACATTTGTTTTGACCATTTTGAAGGAAAAGGCCATACTTTTAGAACGTAAAAATTTCTGTATATGAACTTTGGTGAAAGTGTTCAGTACATGTTTATTTGTACACTTAAGGACATGTTCTGTGAGCGTTTTGCGCTACATGTCTATATCCTGGCCAGTTAATAGCAGTTACAAGGGGGTGGTCTAGTTTGTCAGGTCAAAACCTCATCTGAAATTTCCTCATTTACACAGCCCATCTACTGATGGTTATATATATACAGCTGCCAATATATGGTGTAAGGGTGTGAAGAAATTGCCACTATGTACAAATGTGACAGTAGCACACCAAACAGTGGCCCTGTTCTCCCGTGTATTTGAATGGAGTGGGTGGACCTGATACTGTGAAAGACTTGATAAATATTGTGTGTGTGCACATACACGCGCGCGCACACAAACAAACACACATATTGAATAAGTACACACGTAAGAACTGGTGCTTGACTTACATATATGTCCACAATCCTACGTCGTAAGGCCTCACGATATGAAGGGCTTCAGAAAAATGCATCAGCCTACAAGTTTTATTGTGTAGGAGTTGTGAATATGTATTAGTATTTATAAATAGCCAACATCTTAAGGTACGTTTAGATTATGCAATGTCAACATGTCTGTGTAGACGTGCAGAAAGTATACATAAACATATCTCCATGATTGGAATTTGTAAAAAGTCTAGTAAACAAATTTTATCACCCAAGAAACCATGTTCTGTAAAGAGCTAACTGTCAAACTTTTTAAAAACCAGAGGAACAAGAAGTATTATTTTTACATTATTTCTAACCCTTGTAACATTGCGTCTATGGGAAAGTAAGTTTTGATTAACAGTGGAGTTTCGGTTATTGTATTGTAATATAAAATCTGAATACCGCTGATCTGTTGAACATTTGAAAACAACGTACTGTGATTTATTATTAACATTTTTGTGTGTGTGTTTATATGACCATGTGCTGGTTACAGTAGCAAACTTGACAACAGGCCAGCTTTTGTGTGGTGGGCTGTTCAGTGGGGATTCCCTGTCTAACTGGTTCTCTGCAGTGGCTCTGTCACATGCTCTGGTCGAGAACCCGGCTCAGAAAGAGCAGTTGTTGCGTGTGCTGCTGGCAACCAATGTTGGCAGTCCACCCATCTCCCTCCTCCATCAGTGCACCATGCTGCTGCAGCAGGTAGGATTGTTGCAGTTGGATCAGTCAGCAGATTCATGACGTCATATAACATTTGCCTTTAAAGTAACCACGCTGTTGTTTCATAAGATTCTCGTGTTGCTGCTTTCAGTTTTTTATTTCTTTCTCTCTTTCTAGGAAGTGGTTTGGAAGCTTAATGTGTGTTTCAGGGCAGCAAGATGCAGTCAAAGTTGGGGCTGCTAATGCTGCTGAGTACGTGGCTGGCACACTGCCCCCAAGCTGTGAAGCAGTTCCTTAGCATTCCAACGAGTATCCCATACCTAACTGCACAGGTAGGCAAGTTACAGCCCTTGCTCCTAAGTTTTGATGCATGAACAAAATATAGCATTCAGTTACGATCTTTTGTCAGAATTCATTACTCTCTTAGCGCTTTCTTTTTTATGGAGTAAGGAGGATAGGGGATATCGTTATCGGGAGTTCCCATCAGCAAGCATGCTACAAAGACCAGATTTGTTATGTAGCAGCCATGAGGTTGAGAGCAGAGATGGCTCTTGAAATGTTGGCAGAAAATATGGTTTATTCACTATTCAGCCACCTGACACGGCTGGTAACCCAAGAGTCTGTTACACACTTGTGATTAATGTATTCCCATTATCCTTCTTCCTAGACCACTTGCATTTCCTACAGGATGAGCCACCACTTATTCTGGAAGATATTTCTCTCTAGGCCAAATTAAACAGTGTCTGCAACATGACAGTGCTGCGCCTCATTTTGCTGTACGAGTTGTATAGTACTGGGATCAGTTATATATGTTCGTAGGTGGCAGAAATAAGCAAAGTAGTACCACCAAATGCATGGTAAAGCACTGTAAACAGGGGAAACTCTCTTTAATACCTTAGATCTGTTATGGCATGTCTTCTTCATTCCAACTGACCATATGGCACAAAAATAGAGCATCAAAACTCAATTTAGACATGACAGTTGAGCACTCTTAAGGTACAATTTGGCTGCACGCGACAGAGACAAGAGACCGAGGCAGGCGACAGAGTTATGAGACCGAGACTGGTTGCGTCCTGCCTGCTCTCTGTACAATCGTATGAAGTACAATTACGAGCGCGAGACAGAGACAAAGCACAGGAGACCGCTCTCGGACCAGTAGTGTCTCGCGACGGGCTCAGGCAGCACGTGTGTTGTTGAGTAAAATAATGGCAGAAATTAAATTTACTGGTGACCAAGATGAGCAATTGGTAGAATTGGTAGCAGAAAACTGACCACTGACCACTGACAGAAAGATCCTTCTTCGCGTCTGGTTTTGAATATTGAACTCATAGGTTTTCTTTGTTTCTTTCGCAACAAATAACACAGCAACACATCATCTTCTTCGAGTAACATTTTTAGAAGCATTTTTGTACTCATTTTTCACAGAATATGTGCACGTATGTCTCAACAAAACAAAGAAAACAAACACTTTGCCGCATGTCTCAGTCGTCACCTCAAAAGTGTGTGGCGACAAGCTTCGATGTGTCCGTCTCCCGTCTCTGTCGCCTGCCTCGGTCGTTTGTCTCTGTCGCGTGCAGCAAAATTGTACCTTTATGTGTGTGACATTAGTATGGCTGGAATGAGTAGAGGGGACAAGATTAAAGGTAAGTTCAGAATGGAAGAGTGGGAGTGAGATTAAGGAGAAGGTGAAACAGGTAGGATGAGATTAAATTGATATGGGATGGGGGTAGCAGTATGATCTATGAAGCCTAAGCTGCAAATGGCTCAATACTAAAACACTTGAACTCTTACTTTACTTTTCTATTTCTCATTACCTGTTATTCTGCTTTAGAAAACAACTTCCTTGGCCGGCAGCCAATAGGAACTTGGCACTTTGTTGCTACCTATGCAATAAGCAGAGGCTCAGTTATGGACCCCCCCATACATTGAGCTGTTTGTGTTCTGTTCTCACCTGCTCAAGTCGACACACAAATTGGGGCTGGTAACAACAAATGATTGTTTACCAAACCATGTAGGAGTAAATTGCAGTCTTACTCTCTGTTTTGACTCTTTCGGAATAATTTATTGCCATGGAAAGAGTTTGTTGCTGATGCATCTGTTATATGTTTCACAGGCTGGCTCGAATGAACATGATGACAGTGAAGAGTTGGTGCAAGGGATATGCGCATTCCTCATGGGAATTTGCATCAACTTCAATGATGACACAGTTACCACCTTTTCCAAAGTAAGATTGCCAAAAAAGAACAATCCTTGTCTCTAATGGTTGGTGTGTTTTTGCAAAATGTGCATGTCAGTTGCCTTCAGTTTGCTTTGTGTGAACTTACGGCAACAACGTGTAGCATGGCAGACTTTTTTGTTGTGATTGATGTACTCTCTTTTGTGTTTCAGAAGCTGTTTTACCAAGCTTTAAACAAAACTTGATGCAAAAACCCTGTTTTCTTGAATCACTCGTGTGAACAATCTCAAAACATATGTGAGATTTAAGGTTTTCATTATGGTGACAGTTCAGATTGTGGTCTTCTTAGTTGTGCCACTGTATTGTCTTCTATGTGGTTACAGCTTCACATATGTGATAGACTCAACATAGAATGGTGTTCATAAGGGAGACTGACTACTCCTCAAAGTATCAATCACAACAAAAATTGGAAGATGTTTGATATTAGCAGTGGTGTCATTGCAGGAGCATTCTCATGTAAACTTTTGGTCTCACCTTATACATTTGCTGTAGAAAACATAACCTACTTTTTCATTCAAGAACTTCATTGAAGAATTGGTAATTACACACTTGGTAAAGAAATTGATTTTATGGAACCTAAAGGTGTGTTAAGGAAAAAGTAAAGCGTCTCGCTACACGCCTATTGGCACTTGGGGGGGGTGAGAGGAGGTATAGCTCCTCTCTTCCCTGACCTCGGCACTAGATGGGGGTGAGTGGTCAGCGTCCCGCCCCGGCCGGCTTTACCCCCGGGAAAGGATCCCGGTACCCAGTGGAGAGGAGGCTGGGTGTGCCCCAGAGCCGGTCTGGACGCAGAGGCTAGAGGAAAAATCCTCTGCCCACATCAGGGATCGAACCCCGATCGCCCAGCCCATAGCTAGTCGTTATACTGACTGAGCTATCCCGGCTCATAAAGGTGTGTTACTGTGTTCAAAAAACCCCGCAGTTGAACTCGGTTCACTTATTTATGCCCTGTTTTTGTAGTGTGCATTTTAAGATTAGTCTGCTGTCTGTGACCAGGTCTTACATTTCGTATTTCTTTGAGGTTTTCTGATGAAAATTTATATTCATTTCCCTTTTACTTGTGTATGCTACATATGCCTGTCTTTATCTTAATTTATTCACCCTGAAGAGTACAAATTTTTATGGATCCCGAATAATCATCACCATATATTTATTTTGTACAGTCTATACCCAAACGTTTGAAGTTTATTGGTGTTGTAAAAATTATATAATATTAAAACATTTTGTTGTGTAAAATATTATATTAGCGCTCTTAATCGTAAATACGATTTTACATTATATATTTTTAGCGCTTTTAATGTAAAATCGTATTTACGATTAAGAGCGCTAATATAATATTTTACACAACAAAATGTTTTAATATTATATAATTTTTACAACACCAATAAACTTCAAACGTTTGTGTATAGACTGTACAAAATAAATTATACAAATTATGAAGTTCATAAATATGTAATTTTTTCCATTTTACTTTTTACTTTCTCTATGAATTTGAAATATTTGCCTGAGCACTTTCTTTTGAGAGTCCCTTAGTGTATGAAAAAGTAGCACTGTCTAACTTAGGTTAGTGTACTTTAAATATAATTTGTGAAGTTTATATTTTGATATTGGGTTTCTTTTAGGTATGTAGCCACAAATAATAACTTGAAACATGTCTTAATGTTAGGCATCCAGGGAATATTGACTGAGTTTATTAATGAGATGACAGAAATAATGATCTTCCTCAAGAAAATGGATACTGATTTTGGAATATCAGGATATTTAGGTTGAACAGATATAGAGCCAAGCAGGTGTTGACAGATTACATAACCCTACAGTCTTTCCAAACCCAAGAGATTTAAAAGGTGAAAGGAACATAGTGTGTGTCATTTGTATCAAGTTAGTATGTCATATTTTACAGCCAGCATGACTCCAAAACCCTGAAGAAAAGAGTAGAACATAATGTTTGAATGAACTGTGGGTGTGGAAAGCACTGTCCTTTTCTGGCTTTTGAAACATGCAGAAATAATTCATGCTCTTTCTCAAAAACAGCACACAAATTTGTAATAATTGGCAAAATTTTGAGTGTCATAAGTTAGAATTTGCTGCAGAAACTATAAAAATAATGCGTGTTACGTTTATAGAGCTTATTTATTTATTTGTTACAGTGTAACATACACACATCTTCATATTTAAAGCTGGTCAGAACACTTCAATGAGTTGGTCGAGTTATTGCTTGCAGGAGAAGCTACGTCAGATAGTAGAGAAGAGACTGGGTCTGGAAACTTTCCTGGACAAAATGGGAGAAGTTTCAAAACATGAACTGTACAGTAAAGCTGCCAAGCACCCACAGCTCCGGCCCAAACAGCCCAGTGAATTGCTGCTCGACCATGAATTTTGCCGTCTCTTCAGGGCCCTTGAAGGTGTGGATATGATCTAAAATATCGTGTTTGATATGAATAATGTTGCCATCAGCTGGCTTATTATTATTAACCTTTTAAATACCCTTTAAGAATACATGACTTTCAACCAAATGTAAAACACAGGTTGGGTCACATTGTACAGAATTAGTATTTTATACATGATACTAAAATTGAACTATGATTTACAATAACAGAAATGTAAAAGTTCTGTTTTCACTTATGTGTGTGAAGAGAATCAGCACATTTGTATCCTCGTTGCTTCTGGTCTACTATTTTTCACAAATTAAGTTTTGTGTGGTATTTTTCAAAACAAGGATACACACACAGTTCCACTTAGCACTTGACGTCGTTATAATTCAATCTTTTATGCACTTCACTTATTTCAAGTGTTATTGTTTCAGGTCCAATAAAGACAATTCATCGTGAATAAGTATGAGTGACTGAGTCCCTCTGTCTTCTCTAAAGAACCCATGTCCTCATTGCTACACACTGCAATATTTATGCGTGCATACACATACAACTTATTAGTACCATCTTCTAGTAGTTGAAGTACAGACTCTGTAATCAGCTGATTGCATTGCAGGAATGGTGGTCAGAGCTCTTTCTTCTAAGCCACACAGTGATCTCGTCAATGGATCTTCAGAGCATTCCTTGTTGGCATCAGAGAACAGTCTGTTGTTGCAGTACAAGGAGCTGATCCGAGAGCAGGACCACAAGCTTCAGGAACTGACACAGACCACTGAGCGACTTACAGTGGAAAAGTCCACACTGCAGGTTAGACACCCTGACTTGCCCTATTACTGAATTATGAGGCACCGTGAATCACAATTTTAAAGCTGCTTGCTTTGTGATGACACTGACAACACTTGGCGATCATTTCAGTAAGTCATGCTGGGGCATGAAAGTGGTGAGTTTAGATTTTTTTTCTGTTAATGGTTTGTTTTAGCAAACATACTTACCATGTTCAAGGTGAAATTGTGTTGCTTGAATGTTTTTTGAAGCCTGATTATATAGGACAGACAGTAGGTGGTGAGTGGGATGTGACGGATCTGATTGGCAAAGCAGGAGAGCCGGCTGCTATCCAATCAGGGATGGAAACATGGTTGAGGAAAGGAAGTGATGAAAAGTTTCTTTCTGAAGGGCACATGGTGAAAGGAGTATTGAGAGAATTTCTTGAGACCACGTGAATTTGGAAAGGAAGTGAAAGGATTTTAGTGACGACATGGATAGGAGAAGACTTTTCTTTGTAGACCATGAGGTTGGAAGAAGAGGTGATGGGAAACAGACATGTAGCTTCTGATGCTATCAAGCCTGGCAACAAAATCACCACCCCACCCCGTGACTACTACTGCTTGTACTTGTATAATTGTTCCCATAATAACATTTTATTATAATGTTCTCTTGGAGATTCAAGGCTTTAGGTGGGTAGACTCTGTTCTTTTAGGGTTTCTTTTAAAGTTTTGGAAAGTGAAGCAGCAGTTTGCTCTATTGTAGAGAGAAGTTAAGGATCTGAAATCTACACTATCTCAGCTCCGGGATGAGAACATGCTACTCCGTGCACAGGCCAACACAGGACTTGGACAGACCACAAGTGGCAACACATTAGGACGTGAAGCATTCCACATGCTGGAGGAAGTGCGGGCCGAGGCCCGTCGATGGAAGGAGCAGAGTGAACAAAAGGACAGCCTCATCTGCAAGCTTGTAAGTGTTGTGACAGGGCACCAGGCCATGACAGTTGGATTCTTCCACATCCTTACTTGTTCATTTACAATAATATTCTTATTCATTTCTAAGCAATCATGAAACAAAGCAGATACAAACTTATGCCATGATTTGGCTTGTATATGTGTACTAAGAAACTCTCTTGCAAGAAGGTATCAAGCAAGTTTTTGGACTGTGTCTGTTCGGTAATAACTCCCATGTAGAATGATGTGTATGTCAGTAATGCTCTGTCTCTGAGTGAGTTTGCAACTGTTGTCTGTGTATTACCAACACTAATACCCCGTGCTTTGTTTGTTGTCCACTAGGAGGAACAGGTGAAGTCTGGTGTAGTTTCAGACCTGGACACTCAACTGACGTTGAAATCCGCGGATCAGACAATTGCGAGCAGTGACATAGAGGTTAGTGGAGCCCTACCGTCTCTCTTATGTCAGACTTCACCTCTTGTTTTCGAGTTGACTGGAACAGCAACTGACTTGCATTTTGTGTTTTGTATTGAAGAGGTCTTTAGTTCAAATCCAGGCTAAGCTGGGTGAGTCATACTGTTGTTTTCCTCCATCTACACAAACTCTGAGATAGTTTCTTAAAGTAAGCTGTGACTGTTCCCACATCCTTCATAATCATCTAATCATTTTTCATTTGATGTCATCTAGTGCAACCGTCCCTTTCTCCAGCACAAGGAGTCGCCCAGCTCGGTTGTAGCCTTCGTTGATTTTTGATGTTGAGGTTTATGGGAATAATTGGGGAACTTAGCTCAGGTGAACATGGATTTGTTCGTCAGGGAATATTGCATGGAGGAGTATAAGCTGAATGCCAGCGAGGAGGTTTCAATAGTGGCTTCAGGTAAATGTCCCACTTTGCATTGCAGAATATAGTTCTTCATTAGACAATAACACAATATTTTATTTTGGTAATTAACGGCCACTTTCTCTCCAAATCATAGAGGAAGAACGATTTTTGGTGTTTCCTTGCCAGAATCCAAGACTAGAGTGCCCTCGGTATTCCCAGCTTCGCCAGTCTTTCCTTTTTAACTTAATTTTCAAAGGTTGTTTCTTTCTAACAATGAACAAATGATCTGATTGGTTTTATCAGCTCTACTTCATGTGGACGTTGGACCTTTCAGAACATTTGCATCACATCAAATAGCTCTCGCCACTATTGTGCCAACAATTGTACCGAACGACACGGTACTTGTTTCAAAATTACAATCTACAACTTGCAGGCATCCCTTCAAAGATTGCGGCCACCACCCTGGCGCCATACTTCCTGCTTTAATCTTTAACAAAGAGTCCTGTACCAAATTATATATTATAGATTTAGTGATTAAAAAGACACCAGCCACCCACATCATAGGCCATCACTCTACTAACTCAATTATTGTTAATAATGCAAGTGTGGTTTCTTTTATGAGACTTATGACTACCACTGAAGAAAGTGAATCGTTCATTTACATTTTAACATATTACAAGCTTTGTGAATCTCTTACGGTATGTAAACATAAAAGCATCTTGTAAGATTTGAGGTTTTCACAGCGGTGGGAATGAAGATTTATGTCTTCTGGGTTGTTGTGCTGTAGTCTGGTCGATATTAACCAATGTTTCAGAGATCATACTGCCTCTGTCATCAGGGCGATTCATCTTTATTGGATTTTGTAATTGCAGAGGGAGCTGCAGGAGACACGTCAGCAGCTGGCAGCTACAGAGGAGAAGTTGGCAGAATTGGCAACAGCAAACGGTGAGATCGAGAAAATGCAGAAAGACCAAGAAGACTTACTGGAGCTGCTTACAGATCAGGACACGAGACTGAACCAGTTGAAGGCCCAGCTGAGAGCCCTTGGTGAGAAGGCAAGTTACTCCAGTGTATCATTATAATCAGTGCACACTTTGGGCTTTTGTTTCAATCCACATTTCTTGTCCCATGCAGAATTCCCACTCATTTCTTCAGTGTATACTGTATTACGTCTTCTGGCAATCCTTTTGTGTTACATCTGACAGTTTGTACTGCATCAGTATGAAGTTTATTCAGCAAATTTAAAATCTCAGGACTGCTATAATAATTGCCCAAACTAATTATGTAGCCCTGATTGAGAAGCTGGTCAGCTAATGTAAACAGAATTTTGGATGGCTTGGAATACTAGGAAATATCAGTTTTTGGATTTGACTTTTTGTTCCATTTCATTTCTAGTGTATCATAACATTTTCCACACGTAACTGTGTCCTTGGTTTACACAGTTTGTAGGATTCCATGCCAAATGAAAACTTCTAACCACAACAGGAGACTGTCATATATTGGAAGCTGGTCTTCTAGAACATAACTTTCAAAAACTTTTATCAGGTGGTCAAATACAGGTTTCATTTTATAAATCTTTGAAGTCACCTGTCCACAGTAAGTTTCATTGACTGCAAAATGGAGAAGTTTCAGAAGGATAAAAATGTCTTTTCTGACATACATAAAAAGTATATGTTGCCAAGAGTCTGTTTTTGAGAGAAAGTATCCATTTTAGGATGAGCCGGGATAGCCCAGTCAGTATAGTGACTAGCTACGGGCTGGACGGCCGGGGTTCAATCCCCGACGGGGGCAGAGGATTTTTCCTCTAGCCTCTGCGTCCAGACCGGCTCTGGGGCCCACCCAGCCTCCTCTACAATGGGTACCGGGGTCCTTTCCCGGGGGTAAAGCCGGCCGGGGCGTGATGCTGATCACTCATCTTCATCTAGTGTCGAGGTTAAGAATGAGTAGAAGCTATACCTCCTCTTCCACCAAGCACCTACATGGTATATAGTGGGACAGCTTTACTTTTTACTTTTATGGGGAGAAATGAATTGAAAAATAATGCCAGAAGGCAGGGGCTTACTGATCCTCTTTTTAAAGTTTATGTTTTGTAGGCTTCACAACTGAGCAAAAATTAATAAGGTAGCAAACAGAAAATTACACTTTCCTCACAAGAAAAGAACTTCAAGAAGGGGCTAATGTTGAGTGGTCTGTCGTCAGTCACTGTCTGTAAAGTTCTTGAATGCACATGCAGCATTTTATGACAGTACTTGGAAGCAGATGTTGTGGATTCCACATGTATTGAACATTGTCAGCATGCGATGTTCATGTTCTCTGCACCACCCATTTTCAGTATTGGCGAAGGAGAGAGACACATTCCTTGATCACATTTTTATTGTGGATATGTAATGGGAGTAGGATTTGACGTAAGAGTAAGAAGATGGCTGTCTTCTGGGTTGTAGTGCGATGTAGTCTGGCAGGAGTTAACCATCATTCCAGAGGTCCTGATGATGGAGGCAGCAAGGACCTCTGAAATACTGATAAACTTCTACTATACTATATGGCACTACAACCCGGAAGACAGCCATCTTCATGTCATAGACACATTTATTTGATCCAGAAATGAAGTGGCAAAGTGCTGAGTGGTGGTCAACCTTCCCACAAATGTAGTCGGTGTTGCCCAAACGTAATATACATGTTCTTCACATACCGGAGGTTTGTAGTTGTCCATTCTATGTCACCTCATACTACAATTAATGACAAATATGCAGTGTTTCATGATTGTAAATGAAGATAACAGGTGGAACATGGTGTCATTTTCCCCCAGAACAATGCAGCACTCCATCAGAATCATTTTGTGTAAAGATTGGTGCAGGCCCTGTGGTTGGGAGGTGGTGACACACACCCCATGGGCTTACATCTTCTTTTCTTGAGTGAAAGAGCCACTGGTTCAAATCTTCTAATGCCTTCAACAAAATGTCACAGCATCATCTTCATGTCTGAGTACAGACAGTCCCATAACTGTGACTGTCTTCCTCACTGCATTGGCCTTGGTGGTGATTACATTGAATGGGGGACAGAGGCAAGTATGGACTGTGGTCTTCTGAATCATGATGATTTGTAGGTGGTCACCAGTGTTTCAGAGGAACTTGTTACTTCCCATCTTCAGGGGCTATTGGTTTGTCTGTTGAAATCTCAAATCCCACATGCAGAGTTGTGATGTTTATTTTCTGTTGATTTGTTGTGTCTGTAGCTTAGACTTCTGAAAGACCCTTCATCTATATCTTCTGTGAATGAGAAACCAAGTTTTGTATCCACACAAAATCACAGGTGTAATTATACAGGTGTCCCACATAACGTGGAACCCACCACAACACTATGCTACATTGGCAGGAAATGAATTAGTCTCAGTTCAGAACATAGCTGATGCATGCTAGCAGGTGGGTCCAAGTTGTGTTCGAGACTGTGGTTTTATATATTTTAGTTTTTGGAGGCTGTGATATATCTCAGCCTTCAAAATGTTCTAGTATTTTAAGTCAGGAATAGTGAGGGGAAATTGTATGAAATGTTCTGTGAGGATGATTTATAGACTGGTATCACTTGTAGCAGAGTGAGAATGTTGCAGTACATGCTATTTCTTTGTTGGCAGGTGGATGATGATGATGACGATAATGATGAAGACTTGGAGGAAGAAGCTGAGGGTTGTGAGGATGAGAACTCGGCATGAAACACCTGAATACAGAAACACCGAAATACATGAGCCTTGCAGGTAACACTTAATGCTGAAAGAGTGAACATTCTGTTGTACATAAAACTGAGATTTTTTTTTTCAAATAAATCTTATTGGTGGTTGGAATTTCAGGACATCAAAATTGCTTTGTAGTAAATCATTTCTGTATTTCTTGTGGTTAAAACTAGCCGAATGATGTGGAGTCTTTACGATATTGTAAAAACATGACGGACTTTCTTTTTAAAATTCTGATGTGTGCTGTCATTCATTTACATATACTTTTTTATTTATTTATTTCATGTTCTGTCTCTCCACCCATCCAATTTTAATAAATGTTGCCAGTGACATGAATTAGTCCAGCATGTGGAATCAGTTCTTCCATAAAGAAATGAAATGTGTAATATTCATTCCTTTATGAGAGTGAAATTTGGTGGGAATTATTGATCTTTGTCATACAGAAATAGGGGATTTAAATCCATGGACTATGCGACTGCTGACCAGACTTTAACTCCAGCATTTAACAGTTTAGCAATAATCTGCCATGATGCATGGCCAATAAAGGTTAAACTGATACTGACAGTGATATATGGACATGCATAAGGCATGTCTTATTAACTGGATTTTCAGATTGTTTTATATTTTGAACCTGTGTAGTACATTTTTTGAAATGTAAAATACAGTTAGCAAACTCAGGATACACTCTGTGTACCCTGTTCGTATATAATGTTAGTTCAGTGCAAACTGAATTTTTATTAACAGTGCATTGAGACATTGCTAAAGTTATTTACATTCATAATCATAAAGTAATATGAAAAACAAATGACAGGTTTGAATCACATTTCTAGTAATGTTAGAGATAGGAGAACTTCTAGCAAGGATTATATATTTTCAGTAATCTCATTCTATCATGAACACAAAGTTTTCAGAAATTCTTGTAGTGTGCAAATGTAAAGCATGGTGATTATGGCCGGTGGGCATTTGTCAAAGTGAAGTCTGTAAGTATATATACTGCTAACTGCAAGTTCCCAACGCAGCTCCCATGCACTGCCAAGTTAAGAAACTGTGTGTTCTTAATGAGCATAACATTGCAAAAGGCAGGTTTTGTTTGTGCTTTGTCACAGGATTTTGTGTGTTTTTTTCATAGTTCTGTTGTGCATTTGTTTTAAAATGTCATAACACTTATGTTTTAGTAAGACAGAGAATATGAAACCGTGGATAATTTCTTGTCTCTATAAAGCTGGCAAAAGTTCTTGCCTGGATGGTCACTGGTGCTTGACTAACATTGTTTTCAATTTAGCAGTGTTTGTTAGAAATGCTTTATAACTGTTCTGGTATTTGAGTCAATACCTGTTAGGTGGGAGGTACGTTGCTTGCTTTCATGATGGCTAAGGCCTCTGAATGATTTTGAAGGCTTGTGAAGGATAGCACTACAGAGAACTTAATTTGTTCTGTATTCTGAAAATAAGTCATGTTGAAGTAAACACAAATGTTTAATAAGTTTGTTACCACTTTCATGCAGAAGAAAATTAGAAATAGTGTCAACTTCCTCTTGCAGTAATGTTCCAACATTACCCAATACGCTGAAGACAGTGATGTTCTTTCAGTGTTCATGTGGCAAAAAGTTCTGTCCCACTACAATGGAGATCATATTTAGGGATGGTAACAAACTTATGAAACTCTGTAAATCACATTATATGTTTCTGCTGTTCGGATGTCCTTCAGAATTAGCAAATTAGAAAGTGTAAATTTGTGTATGGTATTTCAATGCTCTTTGAATCCATAACTTGGAACAGGTTGCTTCCTTCTTCCTAAGTCATGCCAGTAGTTTCCTCTGAAATCTAATCTCCCACATCACATGATACCAGTGTCTTCTCACAAACTTCAGAGGGTTACTACAGAATATTGTGGTGTGTTAGCTAACCAAATGAGGCTCACTGTGGATTTTAGCTTTGGACAAACAAAACTGTATAAAATATAACCTCTTTCCCATTACTATTTATGTTGACACTGCTGAATGTCTTGGATTGTTTTTTTAGAGAATCTGGCAAATATTAAATGAATGTGGCATAACAACATAACTTTCAAAAACGTATATATCTCAATAACTGTAAAGTATGTCATGTTAAAAATATTACAAAATATATGTAAGATACTATGAGCTGAACAATTTTGGATAGGCTTTATCAATAAGCAAACTATTATTCTTGTCAGTATGCTTCTGTGATGTGAAGGTTCCAGTAATTTGACGCAGTAAGTTCATTCTTTCTATAACTCACCTGCGTTTTCCGATGTACAGTGTAAGATGGTCCACGTGATCATATTGTACAGAATAAAACTTCACATTACCCACATTCAATGCGAAATGGAGAAGGATCTTCTAACATTTTTTTGGATCTACCAACACTGTAATACTCAACCTTGCTTCCAATATTGCATGTGTAATGAACCACAGCTGTAGGGAATGGTATTTTGGTTTTATCCTTATTCCTTCCTTCTTTCTTTTTCACTGTATCATATTTGGGATCCAAATTTCTAGAAAGAAACAGACATCACATTTATCATACCAGTGAAACCTTGATGTTTTAATTCACGTGACTTCCTGCATTTCAGTTTCAAAGGTTTGGGATTTTTAATTCCGTATGAGTCTTCTTCCCAAATGGGTAGTTCCACAGACATAAAATTTATTTTATTTTCTAATGAAGTAAAAAAAATTGTTGAAATATACATGGCATTTTCCTCCATATTATTCTGGGATTTGCAATACTACTTGTTCCCCCTACAGCAGATATTTTTCTCTGGTTTCATCTTTTCCCCAGTAGATCTAACACTTAGCAGGTAGCCATTAGCCATTAGAGCTGCCTGCAGAACCCCAGATCTAAAGGCCCCACTTTGTTGGTTTTCTAGACATATACTTTTTCAGATGAATCCTCCCTTTTAAACTAATAGAGGCCTCTTCCAGTCACATCATGAGGTGGAAATTACTCTGAGTTTCTTTAGAACATCGAAGCTAGTCTTGCTTGTATAGGTACATCATAATTATTATGGCTAGGTTCAGGCTTGTGTTCGTCATTTAAGTGTGTCTTTCTGAATTGTTTTATTGTCACTGCCTGTCTTACCATGGTGAATGCAGATGTCTCCATAAAAATATTCTCTGTTGATAGAGCCACAGTTCCCATATTTGAGTACAAAAATGTATGCTTCAGTTTCATCATCATTGGTGTATTTCCCATTTTGAATCGGGTATACCAAAATATCTTTGGAAGATGGCAGAAAATGTATTCATTCCTTATGTGACCATCTGACAGAAATTTCTGTCTACAAACTGAACTTGCTTTTTTGACATTTCCCAACAGGAAAATTATGGGTTAGTCCATGAAAACAGAAATGTTCAATGCATGCAAAGTTTGGTTATTTTTGTGTGGGTGGGACATTACAATTTGCAATATTTTTTTTCCCAATCCATCATATTACAGAACTATAAATTTCAGAAATGTCTTAACAGATCTGAGATATTGCACTGCCACATGAATTTTGTGCATACCCACTGAGATATAGAAACTATGACCTTCCAGATTAAGAAATACCTTAGGAATTTACAAGTTAGAATCATTAGAATTTCTAGCAATATCAGATTAATACATGTGTATATCTACATAAATAAAACACTTTGTCTTCATTAAACTTACAAATGCAATGAGATGGTGGGGGTGATGGCAGAAGAATTCTAGGTACTTGTGGGTTATCGGGACACATCACTTTAAAAATAGGTTAGGTTAGGTTAGGTTAATGTGTGTGGATAAATGACATATACTTGAAAGTTATTATATTTTATTTAAATAAATGACAACTAACCTAACCTATTTTTAAAGGGATGTGCCCCGATAACAAGTACCGAATTCTATTTTCTGTAATACCAGTCTGTTTCTTAGAAAGTATGGCAGAAACTCTAAAAAGAGAAGTGACCATAACCATTGTTTGAGGTGCTATAATCTCAGTGCAATCAGTTATCTTACAGAACAGGAAAACACTTAAAACTATGATCTTCATACACAATAGATTCTTACATTTCAGATCTGGGAGTTTCAGCAAGAAGAGGGAAAAGAGTTTTCAGTTCCTTTGTTCTCTGACTTTGCCAACTTCAAGACTCATTCTAAACTTCCCATAACATGAATCTTGAATGTAACAAAACCAGAACATTTTTAATCTATAGATGTGAGAATCAAAAGTTTACAAAAATGTGAATTTTAAAGCAGCTTATGCAAGATTCCTTGTACAGAATTTGCCCCAAAGCTGGTTGTGAGAGAACAAGCATCATGATTTAGTCATTATTTCATTAAACTACTTAATCAATTTTGCAGGTAAAAATAACTGACAATGTTTGAAAACTGCATTTAATGACATTCCTCAGGACTACATATATGGGATGTACAGCCCCATGCAGCAACACACACACACACATTATTTATTTTACGCTCCTTTGTAAAAAGTGTCCCATTATGTTGAGTCTCAGTGTGAAATAAATAGTTTAGTGTCAATTCAGTTGTTTATGAAATCTACTACTAACATCTTGGTACTGACTTTTGGTTTGTATTTATGAATTACATACATTACAGCATCATATCCAGATATGTCCTACCATAATTTATATTATTATATATATATATAACAGTGACATTAGAGATGAACAACTTAATTCAGGGGAGTGGTGAGGTTGTAAGCTCAGTCAGCAAAAGAAGCCAGGGTTAATTACTAAGTATTACTGGGTCACTACATCTCATCTTAGGCTACATCACAGTTTAACAAAGCTTATTTATGCCATCTTGGATTGCATGCAGGAAGCTTTTTTCATGTAATGAACTGTCAGAATTGCACCAGAGTTTTCAGATCACAGAAATTAAATGGGGCCGAGTATTTTACTAGGTTAGATGCAATGCTAGGCACAGACCCCTGAACATAGTTGCAAAAGTTAGCAAATTATTGCAATGCAAAGGCAAATGAGTTTGCAGTCCAATAATTTGCAGCCAGTCAACAAATAACTGCTAAACTGGTACAAACCTATATCTGCTATTTACACAATGCCAATAGAATTGGGAGTAACAATAAATAAGTACATGTAATTAATATATTATTTTTTGTTTAGTGTTGGCTTGATTGTAGCCTGGTGGAGCTGACATGATCACATGTGCGATGCCTCAGGAGTCACTTGGTACTGGAAACAAGGAAAGGCCTCACATAAATGCCAGGTACATCAGCCCCTTAACACTAGACATTCTGTATACATTTAGTCAGAGAGCTTGGTCTTGTTGAGGAGGGGGAGGTCAGGGGTGAGGTGGTGAGAGTAGTACCGCATGTCACACCCTGCCTCATAACTTGGATTGATGTCACGGTGAACTCGATTGTGGTGCCGGATGAGGTAGCTGTCCCTGACGAACGTCCGCCCACAGACATGGCACTCAAAACTGGTGCCTGATGCATGTGTTCGGATGTGGATGGCAAACTGACTCTTGGATGTGAATGTGAGGCTGCAGCGGTCACATGTGAGTGGCTTCTCTGCCACATGACTCCAGCGGTGTGCAGTCACATAACTTTTGACGGCAAAACGCTTGTGGCAGATGTCACAGGAGTAGGGACGTTCCCCTGTGTGCACACGCTTGTGTGTATTCAGACTACTCTTCTGCGTAAAACGTTTCAAACACAAGTCACACTGGAAAGGTCGTTCACCTGTATGCGTTCGCATGTGTACCTCGAGGTAGGGTTTGCGGCAGAAGCTCGCCTCACACGCTGTGCACTGAAATGGCTTGCTGCCTGAATGCAGTTTCATGTGAACATAATATGAGGATGCAGATGATAGTATCTTTCCACACACTTTGCATGCCTGGGGTTTCGAGCGGGGAACAGTTTCTGGCTTCTGAACATGCAGCTGTTGGGGGAGTTCCTTGTCTGGGGTGATGCTGCTGTTGCCTCCATCTTCCCCCGTTGGGCAACTGTAAAATCCCATGGGTTCTATTTTTATAGGGTAGCCATACATCTCCATTGTTTTCTTTTTTTCATAAGGAAAATATTAAATTAAATTAAACTACTGTAATAGTCACCAAATATGGACAAGGAATTGACCCTTCAGGTCATGTGTGAAAGGGCAAGTCACCTGAAAAGAAGAGTAAGCTGTAAGGTTTGTATGTATTTTTATTGCACTTTTGTGACTTGAAAATAGAAATAAAATGTTATGCCCTGCTCGTGGTGCAACAAAATACGGCAAAATTTTGGTTAAGATCGTTTGTATCAGACCACATTCTTAATAGATGGAAAGCCTTGCCAATATCAATGGTAGTGTGATATTGCATGATTAAAAGTAGTTTTGATGACTGTTACCTCGGTGTGATATGGTTTTCTGGTGTATTCTCTACCTGCATCTGAGTAATCTTTAACACTTGTCAAACGCGATAATCACATATATGAACACAGAATTCTCTTTTCCGTCCACAAGGAAACGAAGATGGCTGCTATGTAGCGACAGAATTGCCTGGTATGAGCGGTATTAAATTAGAATACGCGTTTCTTAAGTAGTGTTTTGTGCAGAATTAAAACGTAAACTTTTGGTGACAGGCTCGGCTTGTATGGAATCTGAAATGCTCTTATACATATATAAAATCTTCCCTACGAATTGTTTAGAAATATTTTCGGAAGCCAGTAATCTGAAAACTATTGCGCATGGATGAAGTGTGCTACTTTCAGTACAAATAAATGCCTTTGTAAACGCAGAAATATTGATTTTTCACTCGAAGGAAGTTTTAGGTAATGGCTTTTTATTCAAAACCGCCCGGAACCTACAAATACCTTTCACAAAATAAAAGTTCTATTATGAAGTTCAGTCTGTGTCATGACCAACTGAATGGGCCATGAACGTTGCGTTTAGATGCGCAATCTGTTGGGGATTTTACGAATTCTATCATTATTATATTTAATATTGACGTATGATATTCACAGCGGTGAAAATTTAGTTTTGCATGGATTAAGACACCATCTAGAACTGTAATTGGTTCGTGAACCAATGTTATAAAGAATTTCCTTCTTTAAAAATTTCAAGATTTTGAGTATATTATAACTTCATCTCCCACCAAAAACAATAATACAATAAAATTCTTAACGTTCCATTTCAGCATCAGTTTTCTCTCAGTAACGGAACTGTAGCAACTAATTTTGTTGTTGCTAAGCGCAGTATACGCTTTGTCCCTGGAAAGAACTTCCTCAATTGGTGAACAACGTAACCAATGGCATGTCGCGTCACGTATACGGATCAGCTGATAGAAAACGATTGCCTGGCGGCAGTACAGTCGTGAAGGGAAGCTGTCAGGTGAAAGGGGGAAGTTCTGGAAATTGTTGGTGGACAGATAAGCCGGTTGAAGCGTCGGGAAGAAAATTGCAAATGTTGATTTAATAGACGCCTTTTTAAGGCTCCAAACATCATAGTTATAAAAACACTTTTTGTGTATAACTAAGGTTTTTCGGTCGCGTTTCTATCAGCCATAATTTTTTCGGTGTCAGCAATGATGAAGGGTGAAATTGAACACTTCTTGGAAGATTCTTCTCATCGTGATACAAGACTTCATGGTGTGTTCAATAAAATTTCTGATATTTGGCAACATCAGAACTGTGTATCCAGGCAGAAAATGACGTCAGACGTTATAGAGTCCATTCTTCCAGAAAGATTCAATGTTCCAGTTGCCGTCCGTAAGTGTTACATTTGTTTATTATTATAACACATTTTACTACTAATTTTAATATCATGTGAGATGAGCCATTATGACTCTGAACATGAATGTTTATTTTGCATGCGCAATGTGATGTAAAATTCTCTTTCCAAGCAGCCGTCAAACAAAAGGATGTAATTATTATTAGCCGTGGTTATATCGGAATATTAAAATATGCAGAGTATTGAACAAACAAAGAAATGCATGAACAAAGAAAGTTTCCGACGCCTGAATAGACCCTATATGCCAGAAATATCGATTTTGTCTCAGCTCAGCTGTTCGCACTTCCAGTAGATCGATTTTACATGGGTTAGTTTAGCTGCTATTTTACTGCTTGATAGTTTTTGACAATATCACGATAAAGAAACAAGGTAATCCCATTCTTAGCAAGAATATTTGGTACTACTGTTTGTTCTTTACGGTAAAATTTCATGTGAAATTCCATATATGTGATATATGCAAACATGTTGATGGAAATTATGGGAAGGGGTAGTAGGGGTCGGTTGAGAGCGTTTTGAAACTCATGAAAAATTGTTAGTTGTACATAGTTTCCTAGTAAGCTGTTTTAACCCCACAGTTGAACTGAGGGTTAAACCATAATCAGTTTATGTGGCCCATTCCATGCTAGTCATGAACTCTGTATTTTGTTTAATAACTTTGAATGTGTAGTATAACCTCGGCCACTGATTCAAATTATTTTAATTCATGTGGGATATGATAAGAACAGGAAGTTGCAGTAGCCTATTTGAGCCGGGAGTAGCCGGTTTGGTTTTCTCATGCAATACGTCACGTCGATTGCAATGTTGAGATAGACTGATGCAACTTTCCTATCCTCTGCACACTAGACAGCGGTTTGTGTAGGGATGTAATTGCACTTTCATTACGGTAAAAAGTTTGTCCAAGGGAAAATTTCCTGATCGCATTTGTATGGATGCCATGTCGGCTGCCGTTTAGTTTAGCAAGACAAAGAAATGGTGTATAGAGGTCAATCAAAAATACTTCCTGCACTAGGCTATCAACAGCTAAGCCCATGCATGGTTTTTTTTTTCGGTTGACAACAAAGGGACAAAAACGGCTGATGCCACAGGACACTCCCCTATAGTCACGAAGCTAGGACGGAAAGAGCCGAAGTTGAACCGAACGCCAAAATCGTCACGTACACCGTTGCTTTTGACGGAGAGTTATAAGCTCTAAACAGCTGTGTTTGGCATCAGTGTGGAAGCAACCATAAGTGTTGTGGTTTGCTCATTTGTTGACAAAAGTGCTCGTGTTGTGGTATTCATGACAATGGAAGTGATACCGTGTCCAGTAAGTGTGTATTTCTCTAATAGTCCAGGTATGTTAAACACGAAATTATTTGCAACTTTTATTGACAAAAGATTGGTGATGTGAAATTGGACGTGAAAGAACCGTGATAAAATGGGATTATGTACTTTTTCATAGAAAATTCTTAATTAATTAGTTATTACATTGTGTTTTGGGTTATTGTGTCGTGTAATCGTAGGTTGTATACCAACCTGTTAGAGAAGTGTACTGCATTCATATTCAGGAATGGTTTGTGCACAGAAATTAAAGGCATTACTTTCTTCATGCTAATGTAAGCCTATGTTTACATTAATGAACTTCTTGTAAATCATCTAAAATATCTTGAGCCAATTTTTATTTTGCATAGGGTTAATCTGCCACGGTGGTCTAGCGGTTAGAACGCTGGCCTTGTAATCCTGGGGTCTCGGGTTCGATTCCCGGCGGTGCCCGAATTTATAACTTGTGTTGGGCAAGGCCGTGGTCTAGGCAACACGGAGTTTTCCTCCGGGGGCTTCCCCGGTTTCTCCGTGGCATCCCAACAATTACTCCATTCACACACAGAAGAAGGCAATGGCAAACCACTTCTGGATCATCTGCCAAGAACGTATATGAACAGGTCCCAGTCCGAGAAAAGGATGGAAGGATCCTGTTCATATGGACCTGTCGTCAGACAGAACACTCAAATAATAAAATAATAGGGTTAATATATAAGGAATAAAGACCAGACTCCATTGACCACTTGCCAGTCTTTCAGTCTTCTTCTTTTGTAATCAATCCTAGGATTGGCTGGCAGCAGCTCCTGACCTGCTGATACTTGGAAAATCCTTAGGATCTCCTTGCCTTCCTCATCCTATGCTGTTGACCCGTCCGGATTCATCCGCCTTTAGGGGTGATTTCTCACCCCGAGGGCTTGAGGGTGCCCTGAACCTCCACCCTCCGAAGAGGCTGTTGGCACTTGTTTGCGGGGGACCACTTATACCGGTCGTCACTCAATCTGTGGATGCAGTTTAGCGTCATGCCCGGGACAGAGTTAGTAAAATACATATTATGCTGCCATCAAAATTTTGAAGTCTACCATCTAGTTTGAAAATTATAATGAATAATAAAGGTTAATTTAAAGTTGCTTTAAAGTGTTACTTAAGTACACATTCCTTCTTACTCTGTAGATGAATTTCCAATATTTATGTGCTGAAATTTATGGATATATTATTTATGACATTTTATATTTCTATGTTTTGTATATGAATACGTAATATTTAAAGACCTCAATACCAAGATTATATTTGCCTTAGGTACAACACACCACAGAAAATGTTCTACTTTTGCAAGTATATTCATTAATGTAACCACCTTCGGCTCTTTGCAGGGGGCTACCGTGACTATGGGCCAGACGACTGCGAGGAAGAAGACGGGGCCTGCCAGGCGCTTGCGCAGAGGCTAGAAGACGAGTTGCGGGCTGCCAAATCTGCGCAGCTTGCTTGTGGTGAGGTTCTCCTGCCTGCCGATCTGTTGCCACACATAGCCCGTGATGTCCTTCGGATGGCAGAGAACGAGCCATGCGGACTGAGGTCAGCGGTTCGATACCAAGTTGAGAGACTCCGTGTGTCCATTTGAATCCTGTAGTCGCAGTTTGTATTGCAACATTTGTTTCTTATTGCAGGGGATGTACGCTGTTCATCAACTTTGAGAATGACCACGTGTGCAGACGGATAGGAACTATCAAGTGTGACCCTAGTACAGTGTCCACCTTTGAGCTTTTCCTCACGCTCAAGCAAGACAGCAGCTCCTGGCATTCGCTGCTACCGCAGTTTCTCAAGTGAGTCTTGCCGTCTTTCTTCATGTCACGTACAGTTGTAAAAGCGTCTTCCGTCTGTTTGAATTGCGCGCGCACCACGTGACTGATCTCTATCATCGTGTTGCAGGAACCTGACGAGGGGTGGCACAATAATGATCAGCCAAGGTTTCACTCTCGAGAAGAAGAAGCTGTACCGCAGCTACCTAGAATAGTCCCCCCCCCCCTCAAGCCCAATCATGAGAGCCAAGACTGACCTTTCTCCTCTATCATGCAGGAGGAAGTACACACCTCAGGGCCAATCTACGGCTTGGCATTCTGGGAATTTTGCTTGGCCAAGAGATGAAATGAGGTTAGGAGAGAACCACCCCAAGTTGCTAGAATGAAACTATGTGTACGATTTATCTCATATTGTAAAATATAGTTCATTGTGATTGGCTGGTCATCTTCCAGTATACAAATTTTGAGCAGCTGCGTAGAAAGTCGTAAGACTGGCAGTTTTAAGAGTACCTGCTGTACGCGCTTTGACCAGTGTCGTCTGTACGAGTGTTCTGTATTTTTTTTAAGTGTTTTGTGATTCGGTGTGAATGGACTAAATGGGCTGTTACATCCCATTCTTGAATGTCACCCGTGGGGGGGTGGGGCATTTGTGCTCCCAATTTTTGTGATGTATGCATTTTACTTTTTTTGTCTTTTTTAAAGCAAAAATAATGAAACGAGTAGTAAAATTTTTCCAACCGCGCTGCTAGGTTTTCCCGCTTCGATAGATTTAGTTGTAGTGCCTGCTTTTAGATTAATAGATTTCCTCCAACACCAAAGATGAACCGTTTTAGGTGCCATGATCTCATAACATGAAGGTGTTGAAGTAATTGACATTTCTAAAGGAGCTGACGGCGTGCGGGGTTTTGCTAGCGGTAGGAAGTCATTTCTTGCTGTGCGAAGGCGGGACTGTCCGACTGTGGTCCCTCGCTAACGTTTGTGATTGGTTGGTCAGACAACTTTGCAGAACGACGAATCCTGCCACAGCGCACTGAGGCACTTGGCGTCTGTAGAGAGCAGCGAAGTCAACAATACTCTTTGTTTCATTGTGATACGTACTCGTCCTTTTCATTATGGAGTGTGATGTGTTTCTAAAAGGGGCAAGGGTTTTTTTTTTTTCAAGCAGGATACACACTCGTCTTGGTGGGCCTTCGTGTAATTTCTTTCGAGCAGTATTCTTTATTTCTCGTAATTTTATATTATAAAAAATTGAATATCTTTGTCTTTCATGTACATATATGAGAGTTTAATGTTGTAATAGATTAATAAAATATATGCTTTTTGTACTCTCATGAATTGAGTGAAGAAAAACCAAAATGAATTTAAAAAAAAACTGAAATAAAACAGTTGAAGTGATGGAACATAATGAGTGCTCTCTCTATCTCTCTCTCTTCCCCTCATACCTGCAAGCCCGCAGTATGTATTTACCTTGGAGATCCTAGGTGTCGGTTGCATTTCAGAGGAGCCTACCGCCTATGTCATCAGAGTAATCATCACCATGATGGAGGCAACATATTTCAAAAATAGGTAATATTTTTACAAGATGACATCACGCAACAGTCGTCTTCATACTCACTGCCATTAGAACTTGAATTTTAATCAGATTTCTACCTCATCTTAAAAAGAATTTGAATATATGCTAATCCAAAAAGAAAGGCGAACAGGTGTTGTCTAAAAACCATCTTTGTAGCTTGTTTGGGTGCTGCTACTGCGTACTGGACACCCCTGGCAGCTGAACAGACCAGTCCTTCAGGTAACTTGTCATTTGCCAGCGTTGTCGCTACGTCGTTCTAGAGAGGTCTAAAAGGAAACACGTGAAAGTATCTGCGCGTTGTACGGTGCGCAGAAGAGAGATGGACCTCGAAACGAAACTGCATCAAGGATTGTACACGCAGCCAGGCCACTCACAAGACCCCCAATTAAAATTAACTTGCCTGATCTTTTATGACGAATCCAGAAACAATGCTACTTTGAATCCTATTGGGTCACGAAGGGGGAAATTTTGTAGCTACTCGGCATTTCTGTACCTGGTAGCAATAGAAACAGGGTGATGCGAAAATATAGACCAAAAGATTTTATTGCCGTCTTCAGCAGCGAATGAAATTACAGTGCATCCGATCCGCTCTATGATGCACAAATTTCCAGTTCAAACCTACTGTCATTACTTTAACGTTGTCTTCTCAAAATGTATAAAAAATAATGCAGAGGTCACTTGGGAATATGGAACTGGTGGGAAATTTTCTTTCATAGTAAGGAAACGGGCGCCGTTGCCCGCGAGCTACAGGTTGGGCGGGCTTATTCCATTGGGTGTCATTTAAATGCTGTCATGGGACGTACCACACTACTGTCCTAGTATTACAGAACAATACAATGCACCCACTTGCCGCAAAGGAGGCCCGTTCCCATTCGATAATTCATTGGCTGTTGGTACCAACATTTTAAAACTGAACAAAAGACAGTCGAGATAAATAAAACACTATCTACTTCGCCTCGCCCAAGGAAAAAAGAAATAAAGACTAGTGAAAGGGCGGAAGGTGTTTTTTTAATTGTTCCCATGTAAACAATTGTCTTCCAGTAAATTCTGTTGTCGGATTACACAATCTCTGCTCTTGATATCGGTTGTCATTTAGTGTCACGTGACCTAGACTTCTTGCTATAGCAACCCAAAGTTCAAGCAGCGGTGAGCACGCGGTTCGATTCTAGTCTCAACCACACACACATGGGTAAGTACCATGGAATTATTGTAGTATTTTCCCCCCTTTTTTTAAAAATTTATTCTGCAAGCTATAAAATAACTCGAGAGTAAAGAAAGGACAGAGGTTTCGAAAACCTGCTTGGAACACAATTCAACTGTTTTGGCTTCGAAGCCATCTAGTGGCATTTCAGTTTACCAGAAGTTTTAAGTAACTTCCGGGATGTAATGTTGTGCAGTCTGTTACAAGTTCACTGACGTGGTGGGGTGTGTTTAAACCCATACTAGAACGTTAGAATGGGACTTGGATGCTGTGGTCCACCAAGCTTTTCAGACGTACAGTGTGGCTTTGTGAAATAGTCAAAATTATTGCCAGGAAAAGATTAGGCAAAAATAAAACGTAAACTTATGTTAAATTAGTCATATTTAAACACACGTAGTTGAACATTACATAAACAACACTTCTAGTAAAAGAAAGAAATTATAATTGCTATGAAATATACAGTCGGCTGTTGCTACAGTGCATTTCGTAAATTGGGTAAATCCCATTACTTTCGTATTCGCCACTGCCGGCGTCGTCCAATATGTAGTCGGTTTCAATATATTTATCTTAATATAGACTACACGCCTGCACCGAGGCGACCACTCTTCTGTTCCAGTTGACGCGATTTTATCTCATAACAACGTTTTTTTTTCTGCTCCCTTGGCCTGAAGGTCACCTTTTTCTTTGTGCCTCAAAGTCTTGGCAAGAGCCCAACTCGTTTCAGCTGGATCCAATTCAGGATGATACGGCGATAGGCGAAGACCAGTGGGTTCGTAATTAGCAGTTCGTCTGCTAATCTTATATGCCTTAAAGCGAGGTTTTTTAAGCTTTGATCAATTCATGTACTATATCAGGTTTTGCCACTTCTATGCAATATGAAATACGTACCTTCTCGGTTTGCCGATGTTGCGTGACTTTTTCCGTGACGATAATCCAGGTGCATGGTCACAATGGACATTAAGATATGAAGCGTTATCTTTTTTAAACATTTCGTTTATTTTTAGTAATGACTAACCCACTGTATGTACTACATTTTAACATAGTTGTGTGAAAACCTTTATTTAATGTGTAGCCCTTGTCATATGTTTAATTACATTGGTATGTTTTGCTTTTATGACTTGTTCCCACTGTTGAAGTGGTTCTAAAAATTGAGGCATCGAATCCGCTGCTCTAATCAAGAAAACGTCTCGTGTTGCCCGCATTTCAACAATGTTCCTGATTCATCTGAATCGAACACTTTGTTCCGCGATTTGGCGGAACTGAAAAACACGTTCACAACAACTATTTTAGGTTAGATGTTTATGTCTTTGCACAAAAAATGGATTCACACAAGAATACGCATATATTTTGCGAAATTTGATTTATTTTGCAGCAGTTGGTGCATGATATATGTTTGGAAGAAAGGTTGTCGCTTGTCGCTGTAAGGTTAGCCAGATTGGTGCTCGGCGGTTCTCGTTAGGCGTTTAGAGACATCTGGTGCTAGCCCCAGGAAACAGCAAACATACAGCCATGAACGAGAGATTAGAAATGATCCTTATATACTGATATCTCTTTTGAACTAAATATGGGTTATTGTTAGACGCTCTGGGGGACCTGAGAATCTCTCCTTCGAACTACGAAAACGTTCTGCGTCACTCATAAGCTCTTGTAAATCAACTACCGAGTGTTTGAGTCGGTGCGCTGTAGTACAGGAGAGCATTTTCAACGGTTCTTAATTCCGCTATTCTATGGATCTACAAAGTATCCATTTACGCAAGAGGTAAGTTGGATTAAAACAAGGCCAATACTGTGAAAATCCAAAAAGCAGCATGCTTACAACAAAGGCTGCTGCACATTGTTCTAAGGTGAGTCCAAGTGCATCAAGCCGATGAAATGCTTGGAAGTTTTTGACGAAACGGAAATGGCCGATAGATTCAGACATTTGTTTACGAGATTATCTCATCGGAACTGTAAGCAAGACCTTCAACATGGCACTCGAAACTGTTCGACATTACGCTCGTGATTTGATTTTTTCGGGGGCTCACCCTGGCTGTTAAAAGGTACCGAACGTGCAGTGTTGAGATTCGTTGTCACAAGAGAGCATGAGACGGCATGACGTAACGCTCATAGTTAGAGGTCAGAGGGGGGCGGGCGGTGACCCAATTGCAGGTTCTCAACCCTGGTGCAGTCGTAACTGCAGAACACAGTCGTGCAAAAGGTGTTTCGGTCAAAGCTGTAGGTGGATGAGATGAGAAATCCACAGACTTGTAGTCGGAAAGCTTGATAAAAAAAAACATTTGGAAGTTCTGTAAATCGACAGTGGGACAAAACTAATTAGATCTTGAACAAACACAGTTTGAATGTGTAAAATGAATTCATCTGGCCTCAAGCCAGTGTCGGATTCTTGTGGACACGGTAATGAACCTTCCGATTCCATTGAATCACATTTCCTTGACCATCTAACCCACTATCAGCTCCTCAGGTCACATCACACACTGAGTCGGTCTCCGGTAACAAATCCCACCGACTTCATTTTCTCGGGAACTTTCATAGTTCCTCCTTACCAGTAATACTTTCAAATAACACTTCACGAACTTAAAATCCAATGTGTTTGTAGGCTACTGTTCCTCAAATTCTAAAATAACACCAGACGTTGCCAGATCTTTGTTAAAAAAATAATTCCAGGGCTACTAACATGCGTGCACTAAAATAACATGTACTTATGATACCATAGTCTGGGCAGATTGTAAACAGATCGGGTACGGGTAAGATATTTGAAGATAAAGTTCGGTCTCGCGCTGTGTCGGGCCAGATGTTCTAAAATGTTGACCCGTGCAGACCTCTAGGGGCCAAGAGATAATCATTAATGTCACCGGAGAAGTGTTTGACTCTGCGAGCAAGGATTGGGGGTGATACACAGTTGCCAGAGCCGCTCTGGCCGTCTGTGTCCTGTGTTCGCTGATGTTCTGCAGTGGACGAATTGACACCGATACTCGCTCTCACTCTCTTGTGCATTTCATTTGTTTTATTTCTACAGCTGCGAGAAGCGAAACCTCGTTTTATGCAGCGAATACAACAACCAGGCGCTAGGTCGCAGATGCAATTCCGTGGTCACTTGTAAGCACTCAGGAAGTACCTGGTTTGTATCCAACCACGATATCTTGAACTGCGGCTTGACCGTTTCCTTCCAAAGCTCTCTCACCATATCACCAGTGGTCATATTCACGTCTCGTCCCATTCTATAACCTCTGCAGTCTGTACAGTAACATTCAATAAACAAGCTATAAATCTAAATACGAAGCATGCCCGTGTGGTAAAATCCATTAACTGTACTAATTGTTGTGATGCAGCTGTGTTTAATCAGTTGATGGCTTGGTTTTGCAGCCATTGTTGGTATCAAATGCAAACAAGTCAATGCCCTATTTATTTTGACATTCAAGCTGCTCGTATGCATTAGTTTACATCAGCCTTGCGGCTTTCTCAGCAGAACTGCCAATTAGTGATTAGTGCGACTAGTTCACTGACCGGATATAGGTATTATCTGTGACGCCCGTTGCTACTTCAGAGTTCCTCTGCTCCACACAACTCCAGGAGCATTATCTGTGCTTTAAACAGTCCAAGAGTGAACGACTGATTTGATAGTTCCTCGTACCTGCAATCTGGTGTACGCGGTTATTCCAGACGCGTCTTCTTGACTTTCTCATTTTCCTCGATGTTCGTCACAGACATAAATCTGCTGTTGAAAACTAATCACATATTGGTGGCGTGTTAAAAAGCAGGGTACTGGGCAGAATATTCGGATCGAAGAGAGATGAAGTAACAGGTGGATGAGGGAGGTTGCATAGTAAGAATTGGGAAATCTCGGCGTTCATGTGAGGATGATATTAAAATGGATATAAAAATGGTGTGGAAGAATGTACTATACATTAATGTAGATCACGACAGTGCTCAGAGGCGGGCTCTTGTGAACACGAAGAATTTATTGACTAGCTAAGCCACTCTCAGCTTCCCATGAAAAGAATCTGTTCTCTAGAGAGGTAGTTGTATTTTCCTTCTAAAGACTAGGTATTTTCAAAAAAAATGTTTCTTAAAGTTTAGTCGAAATTCGATGAGGGGTTCAGGAAGGAGTCGCGGAAAATACTGTGTCCATTTCTGAGTTTTCAGTAAAACAACCCCAATGCACATATTGAAAGCGAAAATTAATACATGTTAACTTACAGACCGCTGTTAGCCAGACATCCACTTTCCTGAAACCAAACGCTTCCCCGGAATATTGTTTGTGCAATCGCTGTCTGTGACGTCATCACTGGTTGATAAGTTTCTGTAGTTAACGAGGATTAATAACAAAAACTGTATATCAAGCATTGACTCATGACATTCGGATGTTAGGCAGTGGTTGTTATTGTTAGCGTTATCATCTTTAGAAAACATTGTAGATTAAGCGAGATATACAGTCTGTTTTCTAGATAACGTAGCGATGGAACGGACTTGGCGAACAAACACGCACGGCTCTGTCGACTTCAAGGGAATCCTCTCGAGTCAGCGTCAGCATTTGCAAAAGTACGAACTGTATTAAGACAGTTAAATCAGGACAGACGCAATAGCTACACGTGTAGCTGGTGGAGGCAAGATGGGAGGATAACATAAAGATTAGTGTGAGAATGAGAGGTGGGTAGAAACAACTCGAGAATGTGGACACACAATTGCGGACTTCATTTGTTCCTTTCTTCTCTGCTTGTGCCATGCATTAATAAACACGTTCACTGTGTCGTTCTCATGCGAGCGAAAGAGGCATAAGTGGCTTCTCACCGAAAGAATTAAACTTATCGACAAACATAAAAAAAGGCATTGATACCAACATTGAAAATGGCGGTATTCCTACGAACTAAGTAACCCGCATGGTTAAAGGTCATTTTGAGCACATTGTTGATACACTGTAAATCGGGGTCATTGTTGGAACACGTCGCAACAAGGTGAGCTAAGGTCATTATTAAAGCACATTGATACAACAAAGTGAACCCCAATTATTGTTGTGAATACGTGAAACCATCGAGAGCAGTAGACCAACTCGGGGTTCGATCCCTGACAGAGGCAAAGGATTCATTTTCTGGCCTCTGCGTCCAGACCGGCTCCGAGGCCTAATCAGTCTCCTGTCCAATGGGTACAAGGGGTAAAGAACGGCCGGAGCGTGACGCTGACCACTCACTGAACCCTATCTAGTGCCGAGATTGAGTATTAGTAGGAGCCTCTCACCAGAAGCACCCACGATATAGTTTTACTTTTGATTTATTCGAAACTATTGCACTGTTACAACAATGACATTGTTGCAGAAATTCCCTCAGATATCATTGTTGCCTTTGTTATTAAATTAGTTGTCATGTGACGTCATCGTCCGTGATGTGACATGAAGAAGATACTCGAGTGTTCTCCAAACATTACACGTTTCCAGCCGTTTCAAGACCACTGACCAGAGAGCGCGTTGTGCTCTTGAAACCAACAAGACTGGATTTCTTCAGCATTATTGTTAGACTTCGTTGCCAGAGAATCTGGGCTGACAGGGACCATAGAGCTCTCCAGATTTCGCGTGTCCTTGTAGCAGGCCAGGAAGTGTGCAAAATGTTGCTTCTAAATTTATCTGATGTCGGAGTTTGTTGTGCATCTCAATTTAGAACAAGGCCGATCGGTCTGCTGCAAAACGCACTGCCGACCGCAAAGCCGCTTTCTATGCGTCCGTGCTAATAACCATGCAACAACGTGTTTCTTTTGGGGTCCGCTTCAGTTGTAAAATCTACATTGTTAGGCAAATGATACTGACTTTTCTTTTTTGCTATTTCTTATTAGATGAACTTTCACTATCCTCCAGAATATCATGATTCGTGTCTGAACTCATCCCACCGGCCTGCATTTTTAGCTCAGCTAACAGAAATCTATCGTTCTCAGTAGAAACGCTAGATGTCAGAATGTTAACAGAAACCTATCGTTCTCAGTGGAAACGCTAGATGTCAGAATGTTCTGTTGCATAAGTTGTTACCACGAATCCGCTTTTAGAACCGCATGTGATATGGGTAACGCATTACTCAAATCATTTGTTCTTAAGGAATTTTGGGCATAATGCGATAATATTTATGAATGTATATTATGGTATGATCATTCACTGCTGCGGGATTTTGGGCTTTATTGGATGATATACGGAATCCAATTCGAGTGTAGACCGGCCGGCTGGAAACTTGTTCGCCCACGTCGGCCAACTGCTTGCTGTCAAAGCTCCGAGTAGAAGCCCGATGCTTGCTGGCACATCGATAGAGCTACAAATACACTTCGCAGGGTTGTGAAAGATAATAGTTTACAAAATGAAATGCAGTGTTGAACAGATATGTTTATAGAATATACGATACATTTCTATAACGTTCTTCAATGATGAAATGCCGTAGAAATTTTCGTGACAGTAGAATGCTAAGTAAAACAATACTTTATAATATGTAACAAAATTACGTTCTACGGGATAGGTGCTGGACAAAGATAGGTCTCGAAAAGACATGTACTGACTGGATAAAAACTAGATGGCTCGATTTGAAGCAAGCCCGAAGTTGTCACAGCTGGTGTCTCTTCACTGAGGGTTGGCAGCTTAAAATAGTTTAGCTCAGTTTAGTTTTGGGATAATATACAGAAAATGTGTTTTTAAATTTAAGTTATTGTAAATTTGTAGGCCACGAAATTTAGTTGTTTCTACTTCTTCAATTGTTTTATTCTCATACCCTTTACCTAGATTAACACAATGTATGATGGTAGTACAAAATTTCGTGATATTTGTTTAGTCAAAATTGAATATGTTTTTTTTCTTTACTCAAAGTCATCATTCATGCAGATTTGGAAACAGTGAATTTATGGATATGAAATCATAATATTAATATATATGCAAAAAAGTATGAGTTTACACTGAGAGGTAATGGCTGGTTGTAAATCACTGACGTATATGGGGAAAAGGAGAGGACCAATTATTGAACCTTGAGGAACTCCACGTTTAATAATGTCCTGATTTGAATAAGTGCTGTAATTTGAATCTTGTGATTTTATTTCTGTTTGTTGCCTGCTGACATGAAGGTACAGTTTAAACCACTGACAAGCATCTGTAACGTGGGAAATGGCTGTATCAGTTGAGGGACTTTTCTCAAATTCAAATTGTTCGCTTGCAAGGACATAGTTTGAATTTTAGAAGTAATTTACTCTCAAAACATAACTTTTTAAAATATATTAGAGAGAATTCTGTTAGTAATGGAATTGGTCTCTAATTACACATGCATAAATTTTTCAACTTTTTTATATACATGTTTAACTTTTGAATATTTCAGTTGTTCTGGGTAAACTCCTACTGCCACTGATTGAATACAAAGGTAACTTAAAGGAACACATATGTAGTCTGCACTGATTTTGAGTAAAGTAAGTTAAACTACAGCAGAAAAGCAGACCATGAAATTCCAGCTCCCATGGTAGGCATTTTGTTCTATGCTGCTCTATTTCATCCCATCCTGTACCAGTCTATTGTATACCATAGTCTATAAATTATTTCATGCTACTATTAGTCATTTTCAAAGATCCAAGAAAATGGAATAAGGATAACATTCTTTTAAAGGTGTTTCTTGTATGTCCTTTTTTTTATAGAATATCTTATAAATATTAATCATAAAATTATGAATCATACTATTGAGAAGTTTAGTTTTGAAAAATGTGGCCATTCCACTCACTTCATCATTCTGTTTTCAGAGGGCAGCACATATGTTGGCATGTACTGTGTAGAATTTTGAAAAATCTGAAAGCGCCCAAGGTACCGGTATGCGATCGTCAGCTTTCGTACATAAGTTTACTGGTGTAGGCTTTTGACTCAAACGAAATGATGGAAAGGTCTGAATGCCAGCCTCGTTACTAGCATACGACATACAGTTGTTATTGTAATGACTGTAAACAGGAATACGGTGTTCTGTAGCACACTCTTAGAATTGCGAACCTTTCATTTAATAAATTATGTGTTTTGTGACTGAATACACACATTATTTTTCCGTTGGCTTCAGAGAGTACTTTGTATAAGGATGAGTTCTTTGAAGGGAGTTTTTGGGAATCCAAGTAAGTTTGTGTTTTAGTTAATATAATAAATAATTTTTTGGCCTGGTTTGGGGAGCGCCCAGTATTATAAATATGAGTACTTTACAGGGAGCTTTTTTGGAATTCAAGCAAGATTTCGGATGATAAATACGTTCTCTCGTTTTTCAGTATTCATGTTTCTTTTTAAAATTGTGTAGTACATATTAATTTCAGAGCCCAGAGGTGGGAGGAATTTCATAAAGGAAAATGTGAGGCAGTTGCGAAAAATGGAAAGTAACTGGCAAAACAGAAAAGAAATTGACTCTGTTGGTGGGATGTCTAGAGCAACAAAATTTGGAAATGTGCCAGCAATAATACCTCCTTATGTTAATGTAAGTAGTATCATATTAAAACTAATAATTTCAATTGGACTGTCATACGATAAGTATGATTGAACTTTGATTGTATGTTAAAACACATCATATGTGTATAGTAAATTGTAGTAACCAAAGGCTGTCGGCTATGAGCAAAAGACTTCTCACCATAACATCAGTATGGTGCTCAAGAACTACAGTGGCAAAAAGATTAAGTAATGATAGTGTTTTATGGTGTTATCGACTCATTTTTGTTTAATCTTAAAGTTACCACTGAAGCTGGTCTGATGGTACTGAGACATGTATGATGACATGGACACAGTCTTAACCACTGTATGAAGGTTATTGGTTTTTTGATTAGTATTGATCCTTTGTATCAGGTAATGGATAGTTATTCATAATGAAATAGATGAAATCAAAGATTATAGATTTTTCACTAAGATTCTTCCTTTCACATAGTCACTAATAAAGGCTGCTATATTAAACGTGTAATGGGGATTCCAAACCAAACTGTAATAGATTTTAACTTGTAGGGTTCCCAGTCAAAGAGCCGTGAGAATACCAAAGAAGCCTCAATACGAATTTCGAAAGTGTTAGAATCGCCATCCAAATTATTGGAAGGCAGTCACTCAAGTTCAGTTGGACATATGACACAGGCTGGCGTAACCCAGAAGGGACATATGAGAACAAAAGGCTCTACATCAAAAGGAAATGGACCAAAGAGGAACAAAGATAACAATGTGATTACAAAGGGTGACAAGGCAGAGCTCAACTGTCAAAAAAATATGAACTTGGTATTTGAGAATACAAAAGATGCTACCTCCTCCACAGAATTATCTTTGGACATATCTCAGATCTCATCAGTAAACAGTGAAAGAGAACCCGCTGTGTCCAGTGCCACCAGGAGCATGGGATGCCAGACTATTGATCCCAAGAACTTCGACGGACTGTACAGTGAGGGAGTGATTAAGTACCCATCAACTAGACAGTTACCTGGTACTAAGTTAAGGCATTCAGAAAATAGGTTGCAGGTAGACAAGGTGCCAAGTCTTGTGAACAGGACAGACAGTGCAGCTAGTGATATGCTGACATCTAATGAGACCAGTGATCCAGATATCCAGAAATTATCACTGTCTGAGCTCAAGCAGAACATTGATGAACCTCAAGAAGAGGTAAATATATTTGCATATTACGAGTGAGTATGTATGTGTATGAACCAGTCTGTGAAGGTTGTATAAATGCTTTTTCAGAGTCCTGAAACTGATTATGTGAAAACGAAAGTGACGTCTTTGAAGACTAGGCAGAGGTCTCCTGTTCAGTTAGTGAGCAGTCTTTTGAAAGCCCCTTCCAGCTACCAGAGAGGAGTCATCCCAAAGTAAGCATGTTTCTGCCTAAGTTTGAATTCTGCAAACCCTATCAATCTGTCATTCATTTCAGTTTCAGATATTGTGTGTCTCCTGAAACCTTTGAATTCTGCAAACCCTATCAATCTGCCATTCATTTCAGTTTCCAATATTGCGTCTCTCATGAAACTCTATGAACAGCATGTCTTTGGAGACTTCTTTCTTAATATTTAACTCCTGAAAATCAGCAATATTATCATGGGAATTTGTGAACTTCTGAGGTGCCATTCATTGTAGGTTCATGTCTTTGTATGGTGGAAGAGCTTTAAAAACTAAAAAATCAGTTTATTAGGCCATTTATTCAAGAAAATGCAAAATAAAAATGTCATAACTGTACAAGATTTGTTGGAATGTTGAATTATTTAGATTGAGACTTACAGTTTGTATGGCAACGTGCTATAAAGGCATCAATAAATGTTGTGTGAAACATTTATCTTGCTTCATTACACTCTCTGGTTTCAGAATTATAAAATCCTGAAGCATTTTAGGTTAAGTTCAAATGTAGATTCGTGATGAAAGGTCACAGATAGAGGAGCTGGAGTGTTGCTTTTCATTGCAGTGAAAGATATTTGTGAGAAAACAATACTTAAGCTAATCTAACAATAGATAAATCCTACTTTTGGTTACACTGCCACAGCGTAGGATGGTTAAAGGTAGGGTGAATGGCATTTTCACTACATTCTTGTGCAACATCCTACACATTCTGAAATTGTTCCATATCTAAACATGTGTAGCATATTTTTTAAGGTCTGTAATTATACAGCACTTCAGGTCCTTGTAGAAATGAAAGTAGATTAAAAATAAATGCTAGACAGCCATAGGATTCCTAACTATTGATGTAAGTTGCATAATTGTCAAAGAATTATGTTAATTAGCTTTCTGAAAGTACTGGGATTTATGCAAAATGACAGCATGAAGGAGGGAGGAATGTGCAGAAACAGGTTTATACATAATTTGTCAGTAATTGCTTTCAGTTTGTCATTTTTTTTACTAACCTTTGGTTGCCTTGGTTTAGGTATTCTGTGCAAGATGTCCTGTTTTAATGGTAGATGTGAGATTACTAATTAACTTGTTTTCTATGTATTACACTGTTTCGTGGCATCTAGTGATGTCACAATTTGGCATATGGAGATTAAGTCAAAGTCTTGTATGTGGTATATATAGTGTATATCTGAATTTGACATTTTTCATGTTGTCCACAGTTAATGACAGTAATCTTAATCTTAACTGGGAAGGCAATGTACATTATTCTTCTTCTATGGCTCTCCGGTCCGTATTCGGTCCATGGCCTCCTCAATTCTCCTCTTCCATTCGGTCCTCTGTTAGGTCCGTCTGTCCGAGGCTTGGATTGAGGTTTCGAAACATCTTCCTTTTTACGGTGCAAGGTTATTAGCCTTGCGACCAACCCCCAACCTGGAGAACCAGGGTGCCTGTCTTAGTCAGACCTGTCGCAATGATAGGAAGAGCCGACATCAAATCCTTGACCCTGGTCCCAGTGGAATGCCCAATTTGACTTATGTAGACTTGACTGCACGCTGTACTCTTCGGGAGACTTGAGTCCTAGTCAGTACTTCATAGGCCAAAAGAAACTGGGGATTTTGGGGGGTAGGCCAACCAATTTGTTGTGCCTGGACAGTAGCCTGCTGATAGCCGTCCTGCCTGAGAAACCCCAGTTCATTATGCAGGCTCTCAAGGTCACAAAAGGATTCGGCCATGTGCACCAGTGGGGAAAGTACAGGTTTTTGGAAGGATGGCAGTGAGAGTTGGAGTTGTGGTAGGGGTTTTGGCCCAGTGACCCATCAGATTTATGGTGGATGTCAATATCAACGAATGGAAGATAGGTGACCATCCTTTTATCTCCATAGTCAACTGAATGTTCCCATGGATATTGTTCAAGGTCACGTATCTTATGACAGCTTGCAAGGACCATGTGGCCAAATGACAAATGTCTTCCATGTACTGAAACCAGCAGAGGGGCTTGTGGGTTGCCCCCTTTAGAGCCATTTTCAAACTGCTCCATGAAGCTGCTGCTGTTTGCTTGCAGGTATCTACAAGAACGTCGTAAGGAGTGGCAGAAGAAGGCAGAGCAAAGTGTGCTAGATGCCCCTGACCCTGCCTGTCCACTGGGACATGTTCCCCTGCCTGACTCTGAGAGGAAGGAAACTCTCATAATGCTCAGAAAAAGTAAGGAAGCTAAAACAAAAGTTACACAGAGAGGCATTAATTGGGGTATTTAAAGAAGAAAATCTTTCAGCAATAACAGATAATGAAGAAATAAATTAAACTTCTTACAGAAGCCTTAGGTATTTCCTAAATAACGTTTTTGATACAAAATCATTCAAGACTCAAAGAATTTTTGAAAACCAGAATACAAAATAACTTTTTAGAGTTTGGAGTGTGTTGGTAAATGCTTTTGTGGAGGGTATGTGGAACTGTAGAAGAAGAAGATTGCAAATGCAGTCTAAACTTGTATTCTGTTTCTTTCAAGTGTTCTCACACATTCCTCACCTCCCTGCCCCAAAATTAAGGAATAAGAAATAAATAATAGTGAGTAGAGTATGGTGTTTTGTCTTGTTTCAGGTTATACAGATTTGATTCAGGAGCTGAATATGATGCCTGTAAGGATGGACACACTGAGAATACGCAACAGAAAGATTGAACTTGAGAAACAACTGAACAAAATCGAAGAAGGCATTAAAGTGTTTTCCAGACCTAAAGTATTTGTTAAAATAGGTGCCTGACAAACAAATGTGTACATTTGTGCATCTAAGTGAAGCCTTGTAATTACTTTATGACAGGTGTCTGTGTGCCTTGTATTGTACCGCTGTAATCACAAACATGCAGTAATGGATTCAGTTCTAATTTGAATGCTGTATTGCTGTTGTTTCTGCTTGTCATACTGAAGAGAAAAAAAGCTGCAATAAAGAGTAAGCAACAATTGTCGGTACTTGTGGGTTATAGGGACACATCGATTTAAAAATAGGTTAGGTTAGGTTAGTTGTCATTTATTGAAATAAAATATAATAACTATTTTTAAAGCGATGTGTCCCGATAACCCACAAGTACCCAATTGTCCATAGGTGGTACAGAATAGGAATTCAGCAGCAATATTTACTTATACTGTGTAATTTTAAGTGGCAATACGAGATGATTTAATTAGTAAAAAAATTGTGTCAATGTGATACTGCATTATGAAGTTCATAAATTCTATAATTTTTTAACATGTTTGGGTTCTGTGCTGAACACATACAGAAATCATGTTCTGGTTTAGTGTTTGATTCAGGCTGATAATCCTCTCATAATTAGAAGAAATAAAACATACTTTGCCAGGATGGTTATGTTTAAATAAAGACATATGGGTCCCCTGTTGGGCTGGGCTCAGCAGGTGGAGCATAGATTTGAATCAAGGCATGTAAGTTCCAATCGCATCTCCATCATGAACAAGGTAACAGGATACATGGACTACAAGATAAAGCAGGCCACAGAGATAAGGTTTCACCTCAGAACTTACTGGAGCAATTTACAGATCCACCAATCTGGAGACAAGGCCAAGCAAAGTTTGCACGTGATAATGCCCACTAGCCTCCTATTGGCTTGCACTTGGATTCAAAAACAGGCCCAGGATAGGTGGTGCCTCTGTCATCAGGGTGATTGCCCTGATGATGGAAGCAGCAAGGACCTCTGAAACGTCGGTAAACTTCTACCAGACTACACGGTGCAACAACCCGGACGACAGCCATCTTCAATCATACTTCTGCTTGAATAATGCTGCCACCTAATATAATGAAACAAAAGTATTGTCCCATTTGACCAACCATAAGCACATTGTACAATTCAGCAGCCATTTCTCACCCAAGTCTCTCCTGATTCACTGCTAGATGGCTCTGGCAGTCAAATCAGGATTGAGTAGAAATTGTGCTGAGTCAGTGGGCTGGTCACTCACCACTCACAAATGCACACTTCAAAGACTAGGAAACCTCCTAAAAGGAGGCGGCGAAGACCCACAACAGGGTTGTAATGCCGAGAAACAACATAAGCACATTGTACAGCGGACATCCTATTCTAAGACAAAGGTTGATTTGTTCTGATTCAAGTCAAAGAATATATATGAATATAACATGATGTTAATTTACCTTTATTGATTGTACACTTAGCATACAGCACAACTATATAAGATGAACCTTGTTAAAATGAGGTCTCTTCACTGCTCGGAGAACAACAATATCCACACTGCAGAAGTCTGGGTGTAGTTCCTTTTCTAAAACATTCATCACTTCAAAATGACTCTGTAGCATGTCCCTGAAAACCTTCCATACAATTCGTTGTTTCTCTGTATCTCGCTCCTCCTGACTAATAATGACTTCAGTGTTATCATCTGTCAAACAACACAGTGTGTTCACTAATGGCTCCACGGACTGAAAATTAAGAACATAAACGTTTGTGTTCAACATGAAAAATTAAATAGAATACAGAATAAATCACATTTCCCTATAGTGAACTGTCTTGTTTTGTCAAGTCTTCACTGAAGATAAAGGATTCTGATTTGGGGGATGAGATAAGTACAAGCCTGTAAAATGCAGGATTCATGCAAATAGTCTGATATCAACATACTAAGAAACTCTACTAAAATGCCATCAAACAAAAATCAGATATAGGTCCAGTAGGAATGCAGTGCTTTAGTCAGTACACCGACAAATTTAGTATTTTAAATAAAAAGTATATTTGCATGCTACAATTTTAGTGGTACACATCTATACCTCCATATAGTACACACAATCGGCCAGGACTAATACATCTGGCGTCTTCCAATCCTGAATTTCTGAGCCCCACTGAAGAACTTGAGTGGAAACTTTGCCTCCGCAAGACCTCCATACGGCTTGATTTGCATCAACATTTTTCTGAAGAAGTGGCATAACTTCAGGTAGATCTGTCATCGTTACATTCGCACTGTCATGAAAATAAAATGCCAGTACAAATTTCGTGAAACCACAGAAAATATACATATAACAACAGAAATTATGGTTATACTCACCCAATTTTCTTACCCAAAGCATGCTGCTGTTAAGCCCACGCATCCCAACCCAGCACCAAGTTCTACAACTGACTGACCTCTAAGCCAATTTTGCGTTTTTCCACATCTGACTTCCAAATATTTCGCCAATACTAATGCTGCATCCCATACAACACAACTAACATCCCCTACTTCTTTCTGGAATAATGTTAAGGATTTACCACAGCTGCCTATTTCCAGTTTTCTTGTAAAAAATCCTTCTTCCATTTTATTCGCTCTCTAACCTCAAATTGCTTAAAACTATATTAAACACCTTTCATCACATGGCTACAATATCTACGGCTAATACGATCAACACATGTACCCGACGAGTCTAAATTCAGTAGGAAAAACAGAGCCATGGATACCGCATCAACGACATCTTTGGAGAGATCAGAATTCAAATGTAAAATTACAGCCCACAAGTCATTCCTATTATTTGTGACAGATGTCGCCAAAACCCTGGATCGTCTGCGCATTTTGTATGACCCACGTGCCATCGAGTTAGATTTGTGTATGTTGATGGTTAAGGTCGATGTGTAGGGTAGTTTTGCTTGTACGCATACTGAATATGGTGTAATTGCCATTATTACCAAGTGTTTCATGTAGTAAATTTATTAGTAATAACTTGTACATAAATTTTCATTATAACTGAAACCTTCTGTTATTGTGTGAGGTTATGTTTAATAAGTTGGATAGCACAAGTAATTAAGCAAAGGGAGTGGTTGTACATTGGTAAGTTATTTTAATTGAATAGAAGATAATTTATTTACGTTTCATAAATTCTTCATAAGTAAAACATACCAGCATGTTATAGAAATTAAAATACCAATACAAACATAACTGTATAGTTGTTAACACCCATTTACATATATTTACGGTATTCAATAACTTTTAATAGAAGTAAATTCTACACAGTACAAAGGGTGAGATCAAGGATTGGTGGCTAAAATACATTTATTTCGTGGTTTCGACTACTAATGCTAGTTTGAAGAATGTTGAATATTTAATCCCTAGATAGTAAGCACCTTTAGATAAGCAGTGAGGTTAGCATTTGGGGTGTGGAGGTCATATTTATGCCTTATGTTTATGCTATGTAAGAACTTAAAACTTCTCCATGTTGTACTCTATGAATGCCAGTAATGTGAGTAAGGATTCATTTGCAACAGGGAATATATCAAATTTATTAAATGCTTCTCTGCAAGAAGCTGTTCTTGTAACACCTGCTATTATTTGAATAGTTTTCTTTTGGTTGTTAAATACACTTTTGCTGTCTGTTGAATTTTCGCAGAAAATAACTCTATGTTACATGATAAAATGAGAATAAGCAAGTACCTGTTTTCAAGAGTGGTATGTCTGTCAAGGGAAAGCAAGCCGAACTTTGTTTGCAGATAATGTATTTAGTGTGCTTTTTCCAGCTAAGTTACTATTGAGTTATTATTAACAACTAAATTCCTTTGTTTACAAATTATTTGCAAGCCAATTTAAGAAGGAAGGAATTTAGTTCTTAATACTTAAACAAAATAGAATAGACTTTATTTACAAAGATGTAGAACATGTCACAGCACAAATACAATACTTATTTGTAATAGAGTTATAAATTTCATAGTTATGACAGTGATTTACAGTCGACTACAGTATTGCCACAAAAATAATTGTACACTTAAACATAACCAATATTGCTTACAGTATGTATTTGTAATAGCTGAGAATTTTTGATTGAGCTAAATTCCTCTATGGTGTCAGAGCGAGATAGGAGATACTCTTTTAGTGCTGGCTTAAACTTCTTTAGATTGTGATTCAGACTTGTTATAGTGTGTGGAAGATTACTGAATAGCATACTTCCAATACATTAAACTCATTTTTTATATTTACTGAGTTTAGTGTTTGACACATGAAGGTTATATCTGTATCTTGTACTTGTGGATATGTGAGTTTGAAATTTTTCTATGTTGCCATGAGGCTCTCCTGTTGTCACTTACCATTATTCTAATGATTTTATTTTGGAGTCTGTTGAGTTTCCCCAGAAGTAATTTCATGACATGGTCGAAAAGTTAATGATATCCCTTTTTCATAGACATATAGTCCATATTCAGCTAAAGTAGTTTTGGTTTCAGTGTTCACTGTTGTAACCGTTTACTTTCAAACTCATGAACTTGAAATCTGAGAAAACTGGGTTGTGGACAGTTATGATTTGGCATGGAATGACTGTTATATTTAGAATGATGCATGTTTTGTTGTTACTAGAACAAGGAAATGTGGTTTAATAATTTGAGATGGCAATCAAACATTGTTTGATGCATTAAACTGGATGTCTGAATGTTTGTATCTTCAAAGGAAAATGTTATAGATGGATATAGAGATTGATTTGAATTTTCAAGCAGAGCCCTGGAAGAACACCAGTACATTGATATATCATATTTACATACAACTTTTGCAATAAATATTTTGTCTAGAAAATTTTAGTTTATACTAAAACATTGTCATGTCAACTGTATTCTGTTTCAGGTTCCAATATTGCTGTAGAGTTTTGAAGGATGGGAAAAAAGAAGGTAAATTTGTAAAAGGATGTCAGACAAATGTTTCGTAGGAATGTGCTTTCTTTTTCTGATACTCTTTGGTATAGCATTTTGCATTTTCTTTCTTTGATTTCATTTTGTAGAAAGTAAATGTTTATAATATGATTTCTTTCATTTTCTAATTATAGGTTTTCTTTTTCTTCATCACATTTATATAATTTTCTTTTATTTAACTTTTTCTGATGTTCTTATACTTTTCTTTGCTGCTATTTTTCGCAATATCTTCCTCGGTGCTTTATTGTCAAGCACTCTTAATGTATGTTCTTCTGTCAGAGTGAGGAACCTAGTTTCAAATGCACGCAAAACAGCTTGCCATATTTAAGTACTGGTCTTGAAGTCACATAATTACCACTACAACCATATTTGGTGGCACTGGAAGCTGTATGTGTGCTTGCCAATACATCTAGCAGGTAGGCAGAGAGTGAGATTTTTGTTTGTTTCCAGGGACGTAGTGTGAAAAACAACATCCAGGCAAACACAGAAGAACCAGAGGAACTGAAACGAGCTCCTCATTCATTTGTTATCCACCGTGGCATTATTGGTGGAGATGTTATAGAGCTTACAAAAGATTTTAGAAAAGTAATGGAACCATTCACAGCCTCATCTCTAAAAGTGAGTGGACCTTGTTTTGTCGCTTACAAGTAAATAATGATAAGATTTTAACCATAGCATTTGTTTGCAGGGAATAAGGTCTGTGGTGGAAGATTATTTCTGGGTATCTACAGTTGTTTACCTTTTCTAGTGATTCCCTGTTGTTATGAAACCTGAACCTGAATGTTTGTTGCTGTCATTTTGCATTTTTTAGAAAGTTCACATGCTCGCAACTTACTCATTTAAGTTCAGGCATATCAAAGATAGGGTCAACAAAGATATATGGAAAATGCGGCTTTTTACAGCCCAAATGTCAAAATATAACTTTATTAACAGACTTGCAAAAAAGTTTTAGGATTTTTTCCATAACACTGAGGAATGTAATTTCATTAAGTCACAGTCTGTGTTTCAAGATTAAATTATTGATAGGGACAGGGATTTCTCTATCATCTTGTCTGGACTGGCTTTTGACCAAATCATTCCTATCTGATAGATATTGTTTGTTTGTTTTTTGTTCTGATAATGTTTTTTGAGGGCTATATTTAAGGGTATGTCAGCATCTGCCTATATGCACCTGTATCCAATTTTAGAAGAAATAAACTCTTCCTTAGCATGATGGAATTTATCTTTTCACCAAAATACCAATAGCAACAATAAACCTAGGTTATATAGGCATCTGGTGCAAGCAGGTTACATGATGTGACCAGCATGGGCTCTTGTATAGTCACAGCTATATTAAGTGTTTATTGATCCAATTGAATTATATTGAATTACAACTACCAATAAATATTTTAGTATAGGTTGCATGACTTTTGATAACTCTGTATAATATACTTCCTAATGAAATGAAGTAGGTTGTCTGTTGTTGACTTCAGTGCAAATGTTGCTTCCATTCTGTCAGATATTTAAGATGAGTGAGCTATGATATCGGTCAAGAAGGTTCAGACCCAGGGCAGTCCGTGTAGTGTGCATGATACAGAAGTTATACTGAGAGTTTATTTTTTCTTAGTTTCTACAAACAAATCCTGTTAGGTGCCGTAACCTGTGCAACCACCACATCTTTCTTCACTACATGTAATTATTCTGACTGTACAGTTGATACAGTGTAATAAAGTAATATACAAAGCAACCAACAGTATTGGTGAAGATGTATTTCTACAGGTTGTTGTTGAACCAGCAAATTAACACGCTCTTACCCTCTCATTTTCTTTAGTCACGGAAGAACAATGTTATTAAGGACTTTGTGTCTGTTGCTGGATTGCTCCATGTGTCACATCTATGCATCTTCACTAGCACTGAATTGGCGACTTACTTGAAGATTTCGCGCCTGCCACAAGGCCCCACGCTCACATTCTGGGTACACAATTACTCTCTGGCACGAGATGTTATCTCTGCTAAGAAAAAGCAATATGTTTTTGAGAAGCTTTATCAGAATGCACCACTCATAGTGATGAACAGTTTCAGTGGTGAGGGTTTGCACATGAAGCTGATGGCATCCATGTTCCAGAACATGTTCCCAACCATCAACATTACTAAGGTAAGAAATGTAAACCTAAGTGAGGTCATGAAAGCTTTTGTAGCTTTTATGTGCATGTGGTGTTGCAGTTTCTCACTGAGTAAAAAAATATTTTATGAAGGATACTGCGAGATCGGGTCAGTTGATTTTGTTCAGTGGCTGGTGGATGTAAGTTGTATTCTTGGAGCCTTGCCTTCAGATGTGGCCTCTGTCTAGCAAAGGTGAAAACTTAAATTCACAATTTAGGTGTGAAAACAAGTATGGCGGGATTTATATTTTGACATCATTGATTAGATAAGAATCTATGGGAAAGTGATAAGGCTCCATGAATAAGGTGTGAAACTTAAGGCTGGCTTGATACAATGCAGATTTTTTTCCTCATATCTTCTCCTTGCTTCATCTCTGACAAAAGTGAAGCTTTATGAATGTGGACTGAACATGCTTTGGATCCCATGTCAATCCTTTGATGGCAACCTACATAAACAGCACCTTTCTCATATTATCATTTGTTACCACATCAGTGAACTGCACTGATACATACTGATTGTTTCTCTTTGTATGTTTTTAAAAGAATTTAAAAGATCATGTGATGTCATCAAAATTTTGTGAGTTTTTGTCTTATTTTTACAATAATTTTTATACTAAAAGAAAATTTATTTCTTAGCACTGAATTTATGTTTTTCTTAAAATGTTGAGACAGTTAGTTGTACTTTTTTTTAGTGAAAAGTTAATATTTATATATTATATTTTGTGCTTGTGTATGGAAAATGATGCATCTGTAAGTTTCTCAATCTTTCATTTGAAGCATGTTTAGTATCTTGTTTTGTCATGCCATTGTGTATGGATTTATAAGGAGTATTTCAGAACTGGTCTACCATACATTGGGGAAGGGGGTGGTGATTCAGGAGGTCATTTTGAGTTAAAAATGCTAATAAAACATTGGTCCTAATTCCAGCCACTGCAAAACTACGGACATTTTGAGATGCTTATTTTGAGTACTTTGATAGATGGCAACACTAGTCACAGTTTTTGTTGAAGATGCCACCACTGATGATTTTCAGTGGTTTCTTCTGTCAGTTGTCAGTTTGGTTCTGATGTATGTGCAAGTTCTTCAGCTGGATGATTATATTTGTGCTGAATTTTTACAATGGATGATATACAGTTCCCAGGTTCTTTTTCACACACTGTTTTGTTATGAAACACAATTGAAATGGGATGGAATGAGCAATTTCTGAAACTCCCTTTTGTGCTCAACTGATAATCCTTATGATACCGTTGAAAGATCATATAAGTATTGATTATTTTTCTTCTATCTTTGTCTTTCTATTTCTTTTCTAAGCGAACACTCTTTTGCTTCCTCTGTGGCTTATTGATAATACAAAACTTTTGTGTTACAGGTGAAGCTGAGCAACATCCGGCGCTGTGTACTCCTGAACTATAATGTCAGTTCGAAGATCATTGATTTCCGGCATTATGCCATCAAAGCAGTTCCTGTGGGACTCTCTAAGGGTGTGAAGAAGCTGGTCCAGAGCAAAATCCCGAATCTAGGCCAGTTTGAAGATATTTCTGACTTCATCACAAAGTAAGCCATCAAAAGCCAGAAAAATGTTTCCTTCACCATGTTTTCCAATCAGTTTCCTTTCCCTTGAGAATCTTACCTTTTGTCTTTGTTGGAAAACCAGCTGTTCCTAAATTGGAATTCTGTTATGTTCTGTTCCTACATCCATACCTGACACCATCATAGCTATGTTTGCTATTTTTCACTTTGTACCAGTGGTTTCCAGGCTTTGGTTTACAAGCTCCTAGAAGGCATGCAAAATCTGTAATGGCAAGGAATAAGTTCTTGGAATAAATACATGGTTTTACATAGAGGTTTATGTATGTTGATTTATAATGAAAGGGTTCATGGAGCAGTAATGATAGGGACCACTGGTTTATAAGAAAGTTCTCCACACTGTTATCCGTACTGCGTAAAATATTTTAGAAACATTCTCCAGAACCCAATTCTTCAGTTCTGGTTAAGTGGTCATCATTCTAACGTAGCTTCGCTTACTTTCCCTGACAATCCAGAACTCTTTTTCTGTGATTATTTCTACACAATAAACATTTTAGTCTTTATGCCTTCAGCTTTGCCTAGGTAGCTCAGTCAAAAACAGTCGGTTACAGGTTGAATAGCCAAGATTCTGTACCGAGCACGTCCAGACTAAGTTTCAGTCCTTCTCAATGAGTGCCAGGCACCTATTAGAGTTAAAGTAGTTCGCTCATGAAACTTAATTTAGTGCCAATGTCTAGATCTCCACTTCCCTTTATGCCTTGATAGCATGTACCTTTATGTTTGTCTTTCTGCTGTACAACTTTTCTCTGCAATACAGGCAACTCTCGGTTTACGAACGAGTCCCGTTCCAAGACGTTATTCCTTATACGTTTTTGTTCGTTATGTGTATCTTGCATTCCTGAACTTTTACGATACATATTGTACAAGTTAGCAGCCATTTTGAAGCATTAAAACCACATACTAAACATTGAATGGTCTATACAATATGTTTACAATACATTATAATAGGGGGAATCACCGATTTCTTTCCCACGAGAAAACATTCTACACGGTGTGGCATGTAAGCCAATGTTTTTCTACTGGCTACATTAGTTTTATTAACCAAGAACAGTTCAGTATAATTATCATATAATTTTCTGATAATTATTGTAATAAATACATTTTTTAAAAGTTTAGTTATTTAAATCTTACAATTATGTTCACTATACGTTTGGAATTTCGTTTTATAAGGAGCTCTATCTATTGGCGACTAAGAAATTTTAAATGAATTGTGACGTTCGTTATAGCGAATGTTCATAAATCGAGAGTTGCCTGTATACTGTTCAGTTGAAGCTATAGCCAATTCTTTATTGGTTTTTAAAACTTTTTTACTAAGAAAATATACTTTTGTTCTTAATGTTCTCTCTCTGTGATGTTGCGTTTGTGGGATCTTGACCCACGATTTTTTATCCAAATTGTCCCTCATACCTCATATTACTTTTGAGATTGGTTTTGAAAAATATTTATTTATCTTTATTACTGTCTATGAATCATTATTATGAAATAGTGAGAAGGGTGGACATTGGTTTCTTCTCTTTCATTTTCAGCAATGATATTTGCTGTCGCTGTTGCTACCTCCAGTGCCTATTAAAATATAAAATACATTGAGTTCATTTGAATGGATCTGCCCTACTAGGTCTGGCCAGCTATCAGAAAGTGAAGCAGAGGATGATCCAGGAAGCCATGTCACCCTGCCGCAGAAAATGCCTTCTCGAGGCAACCTTGTCTCCACCCAGTCTGCCCTCCGACTCATAGAGATTGGGCCTCGGTTGACATTACAGGCAAGTCCTTCACTGGTAATTTGAATCTTAGAAATTTCTGAACTTCCTCTGACAACACTCATTATAAAGTGTGAAAGGATATTATCCTTGCAGCTTTTGCTAATGAGGCTTATTGTTACTGCACAAACAAATACCTATGGTACTGATTTGCAAAATGTTGATAGAATGTATCAGTCCTGAAGCCTCCTTATAAATATCTTGTGTGCTTTTTCTGTTTTGATTATAAACCTGAAAAATATGTGAAGATATTATGGAAGTTCACAGTGGATGAATCTGGCTTTGGAGTAATGTGACTTTTTTCAGATGTTTTTAGTTTTGGTCTTCTTCACACCACATAAGTGAGTGCTGGGTTTTCATCACTGTACCAAATTCCTTATGACTTATCATTTATATTTATCATGAATGCCACCAAAAGAAAAAGCACCGTTAGTTGTGTTGCCACTGTAATGATACTGAGTTTTACTTTCCAGCTTATGAAGATAGAAGAGGGTTTGCTTAATGGTGAGGTGTTATTTCATGAGATTATTGAGAAAACAGAAGAAGAGAAGTTGCTAGTAAAGAAGAAGCGAGAAGGAAAGAGGTTTGTACTCAACATCTCTATCATACGAGGTGCGATCGGAAAGTTTCAAGACTGTGTCAATAGAGGGCGAACTGGATGTAGTACGAGCTTCTGCCGCTAGGGGGTGCGGCCTACATTCATAGTGAATGAGTGTGCAAGCCGGCATCATCAAATTAGCATTTGTTTCTTAGTTACGGGCGTTTTGGTAGTGCATTACACCGACCCTCCTGCGATTTTGGAATGGTTGATTTTCATGAACAAATCAAATTTTGCCAAAGACTCGCCAAAACGGCTACGGAAACCTATGAAATGCTAAAGCAAGCATTTGGGGAGTCCGCAATGGGTCGTGCACAAACTTTTGTGTGGCATTCACGTTTTAAAAATGGCCGAACCTCTGTCGATGATGACGAGCGTGCGGGACGACCATCTTCGAGCACAACGCCCGAAAATGTTACGAAGATCGACGTCGTACCATCAACGACTTGTGCGACATTGTTGGGATAGACTATGGGATCTGTCAGCTGATTCTAAAGGAAGAACTCCACAGGCGACGCATCCTGTCTGAGGACCAGAAGCAGAATCGACTTCTCGTTTGTCAGGAGCTCAAAGATCTTGCAAGAACCGACCCCAACTTCCTTTCTAAGCCCCGTGTGACTTCTTCCTCTTCCCAAAGATGAAAATTCAGCTAAAGGGAAGGAGATTTGAGACGATAGAAGAGATTCAGGCAGAATCGCAGATGGTGCTTGACAGGCTGACAAAGAAAGATTTCCAGGGATGCTTCCAGGCTTGGCAGCGGCGCTGGGATCGTTGTGTTCACTCCCAGGGGAACTACTTCGAGGGTGATGGATGAATTTAATACCTGAGATAAGTGTACGGGTTTTTATAGGCGCAGTCTAGAAACTTTCCGATCGCACCTCGTATTCCATAGCAGGTTTTATATAATTTTACGGTAGACTTGGGACAATAGGAACTAGAAACACAGTGCAGTGCAATTACAAACTCATTAATCTGGCATCCCAACCATACTGAAAGGGAACTAATATTATGCTTACCAAATAATGCGTGCAAATTTTCTTGACATTTTTGTACAAAAGCCAGATGCACGTCTTAACATGGGCACCACAAAGTGCTGTGCAGTGAAATGTACAAAGATGGAACAGTGTACTTGGCAGCATCACTTGCATGAGCTGTTATCTCCTCTTGTGAAAAGAAGGATCTTGAACTTAGGAACTTCCCATTTTCTTACAGTGGGAAATAGGGTGTATTATCAACTGTTGTCAATAATTAAGACAACATTCTCAGGCAAACACTTTCTTGATTCATATTAATCTATTCAGAATGTTAAGCAAACTGGTTCATCACATATTAGGCCTACCTCAGTTATTTGCTTAAAAAAAATTGGTTTGTTACTCTTAGTAAATGTTATCTTAAAATTAGAATAATATTTAACTTTGATGACAACTATTCTTCATCATGCAGGATGATACAATATAACATATAACAAAAGTGCATGTAAACTGCACAAATAACATTGTGAGACACTGATTAAGAAGACCTGGAATATATGATTTCATTTGAGTTTTATTCATGTTTCTGGAGTAATGGGTGACTTTATCTGAAATAGATATAACTGATATGAGACCAATATTAAAAGTTTATATGTCCCATTGACTTCAGCAGGCCACTGAAATAGTGCTAATAGAAATTCAGAGTAGACATTTCAGGCAGCAAAAAAGGACCAAACATGGTCAGACTGATTGATATCTAGGTTGAGATTTTAAAACAGGAGTGCTAACCAGTACACTGTAGTATCTAACGGAATTCATAATAAATTTGTATGCTGTCATTAGTTTTTCTAATTTTACAGGAAACTCAAAGAAAAACGAAAGAAAATTCAAGAAGAAAACACCAAAAGGAAATCACAAAAGAAGGAAGAGCTGAAACAAAAATCACTGAAAGGGATGCATAGAAGGTCAGAGAATGAATTAGAAATGCACAAAGCCCTGGCAGAATCGAAGGCAGATGCAGACTCGGGTGAAGATGATGATGATGACGCTGAATGGTACAGGAAGGAGGTCGGGCAGGATCCTCAGAGAGGTAACCACTTTGAAGTAATATTTTTCATTCTGTTGCAGGACTCCTCTAATTTTTCTTTAGCCATGGCTGTTTTTGTAGATTGGATAGAGAGCAGGCAGAAGGCAGAGAAAATTCATATATGAACAAATATAAGATTACGAATGAATGGAATTATTCTTGCACTACTTGTGGTTTCGAACTTAGAAAATTTCAAGCACTTGATTTTTGTTGCACAGAGTTTACCTTCACAGTTTTATAGAAATTGTCCTAATACAGATTATGGTTCCCTTTCTAAACTATCACCCACAAGTGAGAGGATGATGTTTTCCAGCTACATACCTTCAGCAGTTAAATTTCTGTATTGCACATATGACCATTCCTAGACTGACATCTTCACCAGTAAACCATATTTTGCCTGGAACAAATTTCTCCTTCATCCAAAGAAAAGTCTTTCAAAATTCTACATTGTCTTGAATTTCACTCCCAAGTAATTACAGTGAAACCTCGATGCATCGTTTTCGGCGGGGGTGGGAAATAAAAACGATGAATGCGGGAAAACGATAGATGCGGGAAAGCATTAAAAATTTAAAAAAAACAATGTTTCTCTTTCAAAGTTACTTCTTTTTACCAAAAAAGTCTTTAATGGACAACTGGTTTGTCGAAACTTTACGTTTTAGACCAAACAGAGCACTTTCCACGTTCAAAATGTTTTCTTCGTCACGTTCACTAATATTAAGCGCATAAAAGAACAACTTCACTTTCGCCAATGCAGCGTGCGCTTCGGCAAAACTCGGCAAAGCTTCGGGCTCGCATTCGTCGTCTCCCTCTTCCTCACCACTCCAACCCCCTTTGCGGACAATAACAGGAAGAATGGAAATACTATTACTGCCGAACTCAACGAAACGTAGCTGTAGAAGACCCTGACCCGCTGGAAACGAGATGAACCAGAAGAATGAAAAGTGCCGCCAGCCTTTCCTTTGTACTTATAATAAAAGCATTTGTGAAGAAATTCACACTGCACATGCCATCTGGCATCGCTGGAACGAAATATGAGTGCACCCAAATTAAAAGCGTAAAATTTCTGACAA